GATCAGGTTTGTTAAAAATGCGATTTTTCAATTATTTACTATCCATATAAAATATTCACTTGTATACTAAAAGTCAAAAAATCTCAAGCTTTACAGAACTGTATACTTCATTTTTACACGAAACATTTTTTTTTATTTCGAAGCAACCAATTTATTGTATATCCCGATTGCGGAACTAAAAACAAACGAGAATCAATCGTTTATTTTTTTCAAAATTTAACGAACAGATTTGTCAGAATATAATAAATGGACAAAGAAATCGAAATTATACATTCATATTGGCGAAAACTTGCCATACTGTTACTCATCAATCATATAATTTTGTAGAGAATCAAATTCTACATTTTCCTTTTGGTGTTCAAATAAGCATTTTGTAACTAAGTTTTAGCTTAAAAAAGACTTAATTGTTTTAAAAAACACCATGAAAAGCTAAGATGTCCAAACGTAGATCAGCTATGTAGAAGACAAAATCCTCTATCATGAGTAACGATGTGTCACAGTAGGAATATATAGGATAGATAGATATTTGAATCGTCATGCAAAGGTAAAATGTTCTTTTTTAAAATGAAGTTCTTAGGTTTGTAAAGCTTGGAATTTTCTATCTTTTTGTGTATGAATTAAAATCAGAGAAATATTGCATTTACATTTAGCTCTATTCATGATGACCTAAACGTTCAGTCTCCTGTACAAAGATTTCGTTGCAAAACATCAAAAGTCAAAATGTCGAAAAATTTCTAGTTCGTATTAAAGAAAAAAAAATAGGAGGGTTGGGAAAGACTGGGTCTAACTTTTGAACTAGATGCGAGTGTATGGATGTGGCTGTCGTTTTGTTTCCTCATACATCTATATTCCACATTCGAACTGGATCGAGTTTCAGTTGAGCCCAAGACCAACCCGACCGGCTCTAATTCTTGCACTTGACAACAATACTAAAAATCTGTATTTTATTCTATTTGACAGAGTAAACCAATAGAAAATGCAGCATTGGAAAAACTTCAAGTCTCATTCAATAATGAACATTTTCAATATTCTAATTTTCGACATGTTCACTTTCGATGTTTTGAAGAATTGCCAATATAGACTTTCAGTTCTACGTACAATATATATTAACGTTTTTATAAAGAATAAATATAGTCTTAATTCAAATGTGTAGATTCATAGGTGTATAATTTTAAATTCAGAACTGTTTCAAACGTTATTCTCTCAGTTTGATTGAAGACAAAGTTTTTTTTTATTAGCATAAAGACTAGAATGAACCATATTCCATCAAACATTGAGTTCATTTCTTGCAGTTTTATATCTATCCTCCCAGGAGAGGAAATTTTCAGATGAAATACTAAAACTCAATCAAAGGTACATCAGTATCTAAATTAGGTAGTATAAATCGCCGAATTTATCGTATTCTTTCTCGTACTCATTATCATCATCATATTTTCACTATAGTAAATGTGAAGAGTATACATATGTTTGCCAATATTTTATCGTATTCACTTAATGTGATAATGTCATTGCAAAAAATATAAATCAATCGTTTCTCTAATAAACAATTTTAATCAGAATATTACAGTTATCATAAAGTAGCAAACATTTTTAACCAAATGCGATTCATCTTAATCATAAAAATTTCTTATTAGTTCACCTTCATCATCATCATCATCATCATCAATTGATAGTCATATTGAATTGAATATTCATTCTCAAGCAACATGCATTTTAAATCCCTGCATTGATAATATGCATTTCTTTATTTCCATATTTATTATAAACTTATACTATGAGACTCTATAGTAAAAGTATTTGCTTAAGAAAAAAAATAAAAACGACAAAGCAATAAACCGATTGATATACACTTGCAGTATACAGCAGAACAAACGAAAGAGAGAAAGAAAATTGGCCAAGATTAATGTGCAAATACAAAAGAAGAAAAAAGTTAACCAGCTGTTCGCAATAATTGAAAATAATCTCACACTTATTGTGATAAACATTTTCTAATGCATCGCATTCTAACGCGATTTCATCGAATAAATTTCCATTGAGATTTCTGTATAGAATTACATTCATTAAGCCAAAAATTTATTTCAAACTTCAAATGAAGATGAGTTAATATTATCATCATGAATATTGTTACAATTTATATGATCAGGTACAAAAACATATTGGTGTTTGCTAAGTCGAATTATTTTGTTAAACGACAAAATATTCAATCTATAGAACGAATATTTTTATTAAAAACATGATTAGTTATTTTTAATTTCAAGCAATATTGAGGTCAGTTGATTAGTGCTGTCACTTTCAAAAGTGTTTTCATAGAGAAGACATTTTATTTCTAGTAATGCTCGTAATGTTAGATAAAAGATTTCATCCTTTCAATCCATTTCTCGACGAACCTTTTTTTGTATTCATCAGCAAGTATCGAATTAAACTTCTTGATTATTACCTTCGTCAACTTTACTTCATCTGAATAGGTATCAAGTCTATCTTTCACATAGCTGAACAATTCAAAGTCTGAAGGAGCAAGGTTAGACGAATATGAGCCATAGCTTTAATATTTTCTTCTTAAAGATAATTGATCATAATATCCTTTACACAGGACCTAGGATTATCATGATGAAGTTTGGTATCATTTGTTTCTGATGGTTGTCTATTTTCAATATTTTCTTGAACAATATCTTTAAACACTTGTCATGAGAATAGATGCTTCATAAGGCATTTGACAAATAAACAACGGTTCGTTAGTCATAAAGAAAATGATAAAGAGTGTTTTCTTTTCATACAGTTGCCTTCTGACAACAATCAGAGAGCTTACTTCTCCTACTAACCACGCTTCTGATTGTGTCTCATAGAGATTCTCGTCTACTTGTAAAATCATGAAATCAACAGACAACTGTAGGATACCGATATCTAATCTTCGCCATAAGCAGCAATCAATGCATTATAGATTTGAATAGCAGTTAAATTCAACAGAAAACGAGTTTTTACATAGTATCGTATTTATTGTTTATCCATCTGAAAATACAGATCAAAAGAAAATTAACTAATAATCAGAGATAGTAATGAGTTATAAAAATTGATATTGACAGTTTAGTGCAAAGCTGTTATAGCTATCAGAAAAATTTCACATCAAGAGCAGAAACAATCAGCATCAAAATCGCGCCTAGGATTGCTAAAATTTTTTGATTCCCCTTAGTAAATTTGTGATGAATCTCTCGTTGTTTTTAAATATGACCAATATACAAGGTATTGTTCAAAGTTATAGCCGAAAACAGGACTTTATTGCAAATAGATTGTGCATTATGTATTTTCCTAAACAAAATGACAAATAAATCCATTGTCTTTTTTCTTCTACCTTCAAATTCAGCTATAGATTTCGATCTCCCAGAGGTACCAATGAAAATTCCCTGTTGCCAATTAAATCGTTCATAAACTAATGGTACATCTTGAGAATTATTCCATTTAGGATCGAATATTGAACATTTTGAAATTGATGTAAACAAAACTAAATTGTAGTAAAAGATTTTAATTTTCGTAGTTTTTCATTTATTATCAAAAAAACAATCACTTTTTTTTATTTTATTGAGTTTGTGAACGACTTTCTTCATCAAACTGTATCCTAGTAACATCGTCATTCGCAAAGATATTTTCTGACTTAATATTAAATTTGTTTTTCTTTAACAGCATCTTGTTATTTACCAACATATTCAACTTTGTAACCAGGAACTTACTCTGGATAGAGCATAGCTATTAGCTAAGTTTATTTCTGCACAAACGCTTAAAATAGATTCATTATTGTGATTAGACAAATAGGAGATTATCTCTTTTATACCCTCATCATTCCACAGACTGTTAATGAACTATTTTCTAGTTGCATTTTTGAAGAGCTCAGGAACGGGATAGTGAAGAAATGTGTTCCACGATAGGTAAAAATGTGTAAAGTCAAACACGGATTTTTTTTCATAACCATCATCAAAACTAATGCTTTGATTTCTTTCTGAAAAATGTATTATTAACATTTATTCAGGATTATATGAGCTGGTCGAACATATTGGTTTATCAGCTGGTAATGGTACACCAACTGAATGAAAACATTTGACAACTATTGAACCATATGATTGTTGTAATTCTTTAACTACATGTGAATGCATAGGTGTTATGATTGGAAATGTACAGATCAAGTTTATTTAGTCTTGATTTCAGTCACAATGAAGATTCTGGTTTCTCTGATTTTAGTTTTTCCAGTTCTAGTCCTGATTGACTCCTATATTTTAGTCCTGCACATCTCTGATCATAATACACATTGAAAGACCAAAATATGGTATATCAGTTATTCCAAGAGCAATTTTTAAACATGATTCAATCATATATGAAATAATAAAAAACTTGTACGACCATGCACACAACCAGAAAAATGCTTTTCAAGGATTTTTAACATTTCAATCTGTATCCATCCAGTCAAACCTGGGCAAAGTACTTGAAATACTCGCCCTCGTACTCAAGAGAGTCCGTACTTCCAAAGCTGTGCATCCAATTTCTAATGGTATTTGTTTAAGAGTTTCGGATAAAGTTGGACCTGTAACAGTAAGAGCATTAGAACGTATTGATAGTATATCATTTTTATTTTTGTACAAACAATTGTGCATGATTCGAGATGAGCTACATCACGAAGATCAGTTGTAGCAACATAACTAATATATGAAGTAAAATTGTTTTCTTCTATTTTTAAATCAATATAAACATATTATCAATTTTTGTATTTTCTTAACTTCGAATAATGACATAGATGATTTTTTTTATATACATACTGACAAATTTTCAATAGTAAACAATGAAATGAATTATTTGCATTAGCAAAGATATTGATTCTTCAGGATTCATCTATTAAAATAGATTACAGAAAAGATAATGTTAATATTTTATTTCTCTTTATTTTAGATCATTTGTGGATTTTCGAACTTTTTCTCTTCCATAGTTGCTTGTGGTTTTTGGATAATAATAACCTGATTATGGCACCACCATCAGCGATACTTAAGAAAAAAGCCTCATCGAAAAATCCACCTGTTTTTAGTCAAGAATTTATAATTCAAAATCATGGTCAGTATCAAGGAAAAAAGACATTTCTGTACTTCTTTCTAATTCTATGTATATATAAATATACCTAAGTGCTCCTATATAATTTTGCGTGTATCTTTTGCTTTAAAGATAATGAGTAGATATAGATTGCAAGTTCATCTGATCTTTGAAAATAGTTCTCGAAACTGAACTGTTTGAAATATTAATATTCTGTTTAGGGAAATAAACATTTTTCGAACAGTTCATTTCCAGACATAACTTTCTCTTACGAGGCAAATAGTCGAACTGATACCTGTCACTTGAACTCATATTAGATTCATAATGGAGGTCCCACTAAGAGTAAAAGAATCTTGCAAGGATTTGTGCTCATGGCCTCTGAAACCGAGTTATGCTCATATTACCAAGTTTTTAACTCAGCTTTAAACATTTGCTGAAAAATCAAATCAGGATATTGCGGTCTGAGATTTCACCTATAAGCGGAACGAATGGTCAGTAAAATATTTTGAAAGTTTCAGCCAAAAAATGTTTCTTTATCAATATACTGAATTTGCAAAAAATCATCGTTTACCATAATAATTAAGTTTACATGAAGATTCAATATCTTGTCAAAAGAACATTCTTTTCAACTAAAACTTTCAAGTTATTCACTATTCATTCGACGTGTTTATAGGCAAAAGTTCAGGTTGAAATACCCTGATTTGGTTTTTCGATAAATACTTAACGCTAGATCGAAAATTCAGTTAAATGGTCATAACTCGGCTTCAGAGGATTATGGGTATGAACTGTTTTAAACATTTTCTAGTTTTAGTGAGGCTTCCATGTAGACATAATATGAGCTCAAACGGCTAGTGCCAGGTCGAGTAATTCCCTCGTTAGAAAAACTATATGAATAGGTTAGTTTTTGAGATCGGAATCATTATTGAACTGCCACACCATCTAATAATATGAGTCATATAATCAGATATGGATATTGTTTTCATCGAGAAAACCTAATACATAAATAATGAGAGTAGAACTCATAGCAGAGGACAGAGTACTGGTTAGAGCCCTCGAATCCAAAATTTTCAGATTCGAATCTGATCGGACACCGACACTACTCGAATGGATTCAAGTACAAGTGCACTTTTTAGTATTGCTTATCTAATAGTAAGATATTCAAAAAAGAAATAACGTCAACCTATTTCTTTTGATCCGATTAACAAACAGACAACGAAAGATAAAATATGAAGAAAGGAGATTGGAATTCGATGCCTCAGAAGTACAGACATATACCAATGTTCCCATTGATACACATTCATAGAGAAGAAACGTACAATATACAGAAAAATTATTTTATATTATTTAGGTGATATTGCATGTTGTATTTTAATGGTTCTAACAGTTGGTACACTATTTCATGCAACATCATCTTATAGTGGGGTATTTTTTGGTCCTCGCCATAATGTTACAAACTTTGATTCATATAATACAATACCATCTCCACTTTTTAATTATGGTTATAAAGATTTATTGATGCTTTTTTCTTATATTCTTGTATGTATAACGCTTCATGCTGTTTGGCAAGAATATGTCTTAGATAAATTAAATAAAAAATTGCATTTATCAAAATCTAAAAATGCAAAATTTTTTGAATCAGGTCAACTTATTTTATTCTACGTTATAAGTATTTTATGGGCATGCATAATATTTAAAGATGAAGCTTATTTTCAATCTGGTTTAAAAGATCTTTGGCATGATTATCCTTATGTCGGCATGACAATATGGACAAAATTTTTTTTTATTATACAAATTTCTTATTGGTTACATAATTTTCCTGAATTATATTTACAAAAAGTTCGAAAAGAAGATATACCATCTCGTATTATTTATACAAGTTTATATTTAATAACAATTCTTTACGGTTATTTCACACGTTTTTGGCATATAACATTAGTTTTATTAACAATACATTATTTTATTGAAATTTTTTATCATTTATCACGTTTAGCTTATTTTTATGCTGCAACTAAAACACATTCAGCAAAGGCTAAAACAATTGCAAAAACGTTATTTAAAATATGGAATTGCGTTTTTATAGTTGGTCGTTTAACATCAATAGTTTTAACATGGATAACATTTTGGTTTGGTTTAAAAAATTCATCTGTTGATAACATATCATATACATCAATGTCTCCTACAGATTCAATTGATGCATCAAATGAATCAATTATGGTTCTTAATTTTAATACACCAACTATACGTTTATTTACACTTGTTACAATTGGTGCTTTACAATTTTGGTTGGTTTGGAATTTTATTCAGGTAAAAACAAGATAAATAGGAGAAATAATGAGATTTAATAGATTTAGTATTCAATTTGTATTAAAAGAATATGTTCTCATAGGTGATCGAAAAATAATTTAAAAACATTCGATTAGTATCAGAATATTGTGCTCTTTCAGAACATGATTTGAAAAATTTTATAAGACTTCTCATTTAGAAATTGTGTGGCGAATTTTTAGAGGTCCGTAAATTAAATTTAAACGAACTTCAGAGCGTCAAAACTTACTCGAAATAGAAATAAAATTATTTCAAATAGCCAAAGAACAAACCTATCTCTATAAAATGATATACTAATGCTTAATTTACTGCAAGTCGTTTGTCAACAGTGAGTATTTCGAGTAAGAAACATCGTGTCAATTTTCTTGATTTCTATGAAAAAAAGAATTTGTAAAGTAAGCTCCATTAGATTTGTGCTGGAAAAAATTGATAGTAATACGTATGCAGTGAAGGAGACTATTGTTGCTGAATATTGTGTTCAATGACTTTTCGACTATCTGTTATCAAAAATTCATAGGTGAAAAGCAGACAAAGTTTAATTCTAACTGAGTGTTTTAACTAATGTGAAGACCCAAGAAGTGATGGCTCTGTGAAAATAATGTTTTCCCTTCGGAAAAGAAAACCTAAATAAAAAATTGCGTCAAGATTAATAGAGAAAGATCTATATATTTTTAAGCAAATAGGTTCATGGTTTGAATAGAAAATCCAATAATAGAAAACAAAATAAGACAACATTTAAATGTACTCGAATATAAAGTGAATAACTCTAGAATAAAATCTCATAATGCTCCTCATTGTATCATATTAGAATGATGGATCCAGAACGAAAAAAAATTAATTTATACAGGTCTTCTTAGTATTTGATAACTGACAAAATTATTAAGATAAGACAATCGATAAAAGTACTTATTCTATGTAGATAGATCGATATCGTTTTTATTGATCGTCCGTTTTGACATGTTTTTATTTTAAATCGAAGAATGTAGATTGTGTTTGTAATTGCTATTGTTAATAACCGAATATTCTTAAATGTGTTGACAACATCAGTATAGATAATACAGAAAAAAACTTTAACCTTCTGAAAGATTATCTGTATTTAGTTCCAGATGAGACGTCGACATGGACAACGTAGTGAACAATCAACAACGACAACTTTAACAAAAGTTTCAAATAAACTTAAACAAAAACAGCAAGACTTAAAAAATGGTAAATCAGACAATGATGAAACAGATGAACATCCTGTTATAACTGCTAATGGATATGATAGTAAAAAAAGCAACTAAATTAAAAGGAAGAAGAAGAAGAACGTTCATCTATTCAAGTATACTTCTAATATTGTCTTTCTAAGTGTCCACTTATTGTTACACTTCTCCTTTTCTTTTTTTCTTTTCTCATTATTATTCTTATTGTTTTCTTTTTAAGTTATCACTTCCAATTAACAAAAAAATATTGTTTTAAGTTAATTTGTTTGTATGACCTTCTTATTTGGTGTAGAAAAGTAAAAAGAACTTATAGACTCAATAAACCAAATTGTATTAAGGGATAAGCAAAAGAATATATAACTTAATTATTGATAAAGAAGTCATGTGTTCTTCCATTCGATCTTATTTTGCACCTGATCAAGGAATTTTTCTCAATGTCAAATCGTTTATTCACCGGGACGGCGTTCATTTAATGAGTAATACAAAAGTCTGGAATAATTTGGTTTTGAAGCCTTCATACTTAGTTTTGGCTTCAAAATTTGAACGAACAAAGTTCTTAATGAGATTAATTCATTAGGAAAGTCATATATTTACATCTTCAAAGGAAAAATACTAGTTGTACAATCAATTAGTCTCATTTAGAATTTTTTTCCTGTAAAGTTTGAAGTCGAAAGACAATTTTTCACATGATCACAGTTTTTATGTTGAAAACTGCAATAAAATTTCAGTATCTCAAGAACAAAGGTTCGAAAAACCAATCCATTCTACATTCTGTTATCAAACACTAGCCATCATGAAACAAATATCATCTCGATCGAAGAGGATTTGGCATCTGACGAGATTCTCTTGTCATTTCTAATTGAAAAACAAAGATTAAAGTTGAGATAGATGATTAAATTTGTAAATTTTAAAAAATAGTTAAAAGACTTTTTAAAACATGACCAAATTATTAGAATGATGTTTTTATCCAGTTACAAATATGCTCAAATGAATATCTCGATTCTGGTTCATTCAAAATGCAGACGATATTATTGTTGAAAATATTCAAACCAATTTCTTCTTCAGCTTGGTCGCTGAGTGTTCTATGTAAGAACCAGTTTGTAGGTAAAAAATAAAGACCTGTAAAATCCTATGGCGATAGGTAGTTTCATTCAGTATTTTTTTTACTTCACTGGCTTCATGAATGTTTTTATATTATAGAATAATATTTTTATTGCAAACATTTGAATAGACCATGTCGTTGTACATCTATGAATCATATGAGCACTTGATTAAACAGCATTATCAATATCAATATTTTATTCATTTATTTATTCAGAAAAAATATTTTTATATTTGTACTATACTGTTAAATACATATATATATATAGACAGTCATTACAGCAGTATTAACTATTCGCTGAATACGTAGAAATTAGTAAATTATTTCTGTATTATTTCAATGCTGATAAGACTTTCTTGCATCTGTTTATTTAACTCAGATTATTTAGAAACTTTGATTTCAATTGATGAAAATGAACAATTATTTGTTTTTATTTTGTGTCAGTCAGAAAAATAAAATACTAACATTGTGAGTTGAAGAAAGTGACACCGTAAACAAAATAAAAAAAACTAAAAACTGGCATCTTTACGTCGCTATTTTATTCCACAAGTGCGTAAAACGACCAAAATAGTAGAAGAAACAATAACTGATTATCAGAGAAAAAATAACAGCTGACGAATTATGAGGAAGTATAGTGAAAATTAGTGTACTACCACGCCGTTTCTGATAGTTGCAACGATTGTTTTGGAGCTTCTTTATATAAAGCTAGTTTTCCAATGCTCTGTTGAACTATAATTATTAAACTTTCTAATTTCATCGATATATTGTTTTCGGTATTGGTTAACTGTATAGAAAAGATTGCCTAGATTTCATTATTAGTGGAATAGAGTCAATTATTGAAAATCTCAAAATAGATGGACTGTCGGATTGTTTCCTTCATGCTAGTGATGCAACAGAGATGTTCAGAGCATTGCTGCTACTGTGACAACATCAGCGACGTAATAGTAGCACTTTTTTAGAAGAGTTTTTCGAAAGCTATTACGGCAGCGACAAACTTCCAGCCAAGATGAATATCTCTTTAGTATAACTACTTAATTATGCTGATATAAAACAACAAGAGATAGTCATTTTTATAGAAAAGACAAAGTATTTTTTTATACAGATTATTTAATTATGAAACTAAATGCTGCTCCTTCATTAGAATAATTAGTAAAGATAATTGATTTGTTGTAATCTTTCATACTATAAAAAATAAATACTATTGATAGATTTTGCATATTTATCTTTAACACTTGTAAGGCTACTAGAATATGACCTAAAAAGTAAACCAAACAAGTCGTTGATATTCATTTTTGTCCTTGTAGAATATTAATAACTGATAATATTTATTCACTATGAATAAGAAAAATATTTGAATTATTTATTTTGCTTGATAATTTATAAAGTATATTAAACTGGCTGTGAATGACTGATGAAGAACTAAATAGTAACCGTGTTTAATCAAGTCTCTTAAATGATGAATACAATTAGAACATAAAATATTGCCATGCCAAAAAAGTTTGATAAATTCTGAAAATTATATCACCATCATGAATAACATATGTATTATATTAATTAAAATGAATCAATACTCTAGTCAGAACTTTTAATTTATAATACTTATTTTCTTTTTTACGAATGGCGATTTAAAACCATTGAATATAAAGAATAAAGTACATAAAATAATAAACCAAATGGTATTACCTAACAGAGGTGTCCACAAAGTGGTTTTTTTCGCACTCTGTTCTACTCAATCTACTGAAGTATCAGAGAATAGAGTATTTTGCTGAATTGATACACTGTCTTGATTGTAATTTTCAGTCGAGCTAAAAAGCAAAAACATTTCCTCATTATATCATAAAACATTGTTTTATAAAAACTCATTTCACCATAATACTAAATCATAGTTCAACTAAGAAATTGCATGAATATCAACAAAACCAGCACATTGAATGATATACATAACTTAGATTCATAAGCTTCACTATAGAAATCAGTTTGAAAAAATAATCAAGAAAAAGAACAACAAAAAGTAAAATAAGTACCACAAGTAAGAAACAAGCCAACAAAAAAATAAGACATGATTTTTTTTTCTATATATACATGTTTTTCTACTAGTCATCCTAATAAAATGATTTCTAATTTATCTGATTGAAGATTTGCTCTTGTTTTATGTAAGATCCAACTAGCAGTAGAAATTTTTCTTTCTCTATTAGCTGCTGTTGCAAGGTCAGATCGAGTATATTTCGAGAAAAACGAAAATTTATTTTTGATAATTCTTTCAAAATTGTAAATTTTCAATTTTGTTTACCTATTCTGATTGAATGAGTACATTAAAGATTGACCTCACCCTACTCTGTGAACACCTTTGGTACCCCAGCAGACAAGTAGCTCTACAAACACGCTTAAATACGGCATTTTGGAATCGCGTGTGAACGCTTTCACATTCATTCAAAAAAAAAATACGAAAACTAGCTATTTTCATCGTAACAGATTCGTGAAGTCTCTTTAAAGTGCGATTTTTTCCAAAATATTTTAACATGTTTTGCATAGAACAATGACTTTTTTATATGTGGTATACGTCAAAGATATAGTGGGACAACTTTTTCAACGTTACTTAAATACAAAAATTGACTCTTGAAGCATCTTCATGTATCTTTTATGATGAAAGTAGCCAATTTTGATGTTTTCTAAATAGACATGAAAACGTTCAAATGGGAGCCACAAATAGAGTATTTCAATACATTTTCTAGAAATTCGGGTGTACTTGGAAAAAGCTCAAAACAATCAATATTCCGACTAAAATAAAGAGAATTTCCAAACCGCCGAAACCAATTATTGAAACGTGGAGGAGGGACTTTGAACATGAGTGCATGTTATTCAGTTTCATCGAACATCTAAATTAAATATGAACTTTTCTTCTTGTATGAAAGTCATCTTTTCAGTTCATAAAAATAAAATACTTTGACGGTTGTGTTTACTTTATATATAATCGCTACTAAATTTTTATCTGCGAGAAAAAAAAAACTTTTCCATGTCTCTAGTCAAAAGAAAAAGCTTTGCTTGAATTTCAGATAATCAATAAGAAGATATTATTTGATCATCAACTATATAATATGTATGATACAGTGTAAAATTAACGCTTTAAAAGTTTTTTCAAAGGTCTAAAACATGAAAATTCGTTATAATTGTGTCTCCTTCAAAAGTGTTGACTGGCTTTTGTCTTAGTTTTCATCAGTTGATATTAAATATTGCTTAGAAAATTATGAAACTCAAGTGAAATATATGCTGAACATAATTAATTTTGTGAAAACTGTTGAATAAAAGTAAAAGACATTTCAGAATTGCTTTGAGAAGAAGTTCCAAGTAATCAAAATTGAATTCAGCAACCGAAATTAATATTGTGCTAAGTTTGCATGTACTGGAGCACTCAAAATTGTTCTTCCACTATTTTATTTTCTTGAGTAGTCGAAATTTTAATAGATTTCGAGTGATTCATATACGCAGGAGTTAGTTTTATTCTTTTGATCGGTTACCTCTCGCCAAGTATAAAAATCTTCGATGAGTGCCAAAGGGCAAAAAATGAGTGCCTGGAATCCGGTGACTGTTGAGAAGCTTAAAACTGGAATAGAGTGAACGAAAAAAAAATCTTTTTTTAAAAACTTGTGATGTCTCGTTGCCCATATTGTATACATCTGAAATGTCGAAATTGATAATTAATTATCGAGAGATAGAATAAAATATTCTGTTGTAGTTATGTTATGTCATAAGAGTGCTTAAGTGATATCACGTATGTCATTTATTTTATTCTATTCTTAGTTTGTTAAGTCATGTAATTCTATTAAGTGCTTTATATGTTATTGGATTCGTGCTGCAATATCTGTTTTCTATTTAAATAGCATAAAACCTTGAAAAATGTGACAAAACTCATGTCTTTGAACATCATTGTCTGTATCAATGGCATCTGAAAAAATCCAATTATGACTTTATAGTGTAATGCATTTTCATTTTTTTTAAACCATTAACAATATGATATAAGGTTCTCATTGGTAGACGAAAGAGGATCCGAAATATCCTATTTTGTTTGATTTTATAACATATCCAGTCTACACAATCGGTTACGATTGCTCTTTTCTTTCGAGATATTTTTCGATTATTCCCATCAGAAAATACTCAAAAATGAGCCGATATGACCTCTAGTTCGATTCAAAAATATTCTTTATGAGTATAGTCGTTTCCTTTTCCGTTGAAACGCCTCTATTTATCAAAATTCTACATCCGCCACTATGTAGAACTATGACTAATAATGTACAGATTCATTGTTAATTCAGATAATTTATCGAGTTTTAGTGCAGACAATTGATTCACTCCAGTTTAATTGCTATAATTTTAATTTTCAAAAATACATACACGATTATTTATCAAACTTAAAATGATTGAGAACAATTTCGAAAGAATAAAAAAAACCAGAACTTACTACAATTACAAAGATGAGTTTCAAAATTCCAATAAATAAAGTGCTTCAGCTCTTTTCTTTCAATCGTAGCTTCATGACGAAACAATTATTAACGTTACTGCAGTGTCATAAAGCATGAATAAGTGTCATATGCATCATTTTTATTTTTTCTTGATTTACACTTCAATGAATAATACCGATCGTTGGTAAGCAAACATTTCAAAATAAAACTAAAAGTATGCTAATGCATGGTTGCATGGTTTCATGATCTTTTCTTTAAAATACCAATGATGAAAGTAAACGAAAACAGCCAATGGGACAATCTTACCAAAAAAAAAAGATTTGAAAGGAAAAAAAACGTTCTAATAAATAGACGTAGTCGTCTAAAGAAGGATTAGTTGAAAAATATAAATATTTGGAGGCCATTACTATACAATACGACACTAAGACTATACAAGTAAATATTTTTTACCAAATCAGATACTGTAAAACATCTTTATATTATTATATCCGTAAGTAAGAGTATACTGATTTTTTATTTAAATATGAGTTCATTTCTGCATTCTTCAATACTCCTATTATTACTTTTTGAAATAATATTATCTCGACCAGCAATGCAAAGAATTATGGTTAATAATCATACATGGGAAGTACCAGATGAACCTGGATGGGAAGAAGTGATTAGAGATGCGACAGCAATTCAAGAGCTTTTACATGGATGTACAACAGCGGTTGAATGTCGTCGAGTTGTTGAACAAATGCATGTTGTCTTTAACTCTCATCCGGTTTCTAGAAAATATCTTGAGTCAGACCCAAGCGGTGCGCATCATATAATGGCATCGATATTCAAATGGGGTTGAATATATGCATATAAATGCCATGATTAGACAATCATTGTATGTAAATGATTGAAATATAGAATGAAAATTATTTATAAAATAAAGTTTTGATAAATGCTTTTATCGTTTTTGAGATTTTAATCGTTGATTTTTTTTTGTTTTTGATTTTGAACGTTGTGATGCATTTGATTTAACTTTTCTTGAAATTGATTTTGATTTGATTTTTTTCTTCGATGTTTGTCTTGATTTTTCATTGTAACGTTGTTGGCTGATTTTCTTGTTATCAGATGGTAATTGATTGATATTCCACGGATACGGTGGATATGGATACCGTTCGACAATGAAACCATCTGTAAAATCAGATCCATATTTTTTTTCATTAGGAATTCCTTGTTTTAAACATTGTTCATAAGATTTTAATATATTCGATTTTACTGTTGATTTTTGTTGTGGTTGCGTTCTAGTTTTTGATGACATGATAACATCAAACTATTAAAATCATATTTATTTAAGATAAGAATAAAAGAAAAAGTCGAACGAATAAATTTCACATTCAAATGTTCCCGCAAATTGAAATTTTTATAATGTTTCTATCAAATTCTGCATTTATTGACAAAGATATTACGAAGATTCTTAACTCCGAAAATGAATCTTGTCATATGCTTGATTAATAGAATCAAATTTATGATTTGTCTCAATGACTATAGTATATAAATATATTAATTAATAAAACATTCATTTGTGCAACAGTGATACTGTATCGAAAAAAAAAATTATTTTTCTTATCGCGTCTCATCATTTTACTTATATTTTTGCTTACTAAATGCACCGTTAGTATTTGACTCATACATATTTGTAAAAGGTTGAATGAAAAACAAAAACTTCACTTTTGAAAAATGTAATAATCTCTTTATTGAAATACAGACTAGAAAACGAAACGATAAATAGCCAAAAGCAATTTTTTTATATATTATAACAGAACGTAAGCAAAAAAACAAAAAGCCCAATTCTGATTTTATCTCATAACTTTCTCCAATAGATTAATTGTTATTTATGATTGCACTTTAGATTTTTTAGTTACAAAAAACTAACGAACACATGCATTGTTTTACTTTCCATCTTCTTGGCAATTTGTAAGCAAGTGAAGCAAAAGTAGATGTAATAAGTTGCAAATCAGTCGTCGTTAAATAATATTATAAAAAATGTTTTTATAGCATGGTAGCGTATTGGCATCTGTTCGTTCTAACGCATGTGTGTTAAGACAGATTGTCATCAAACAGATTCCATCTTAACTTTTGAATGGATGCTAGTCTGAAATGATAAATTGATTTTTCTATGAACAATTTGATAGCTAGTGTGATTGAAGAGAAGGCTCATTAGAGTCCGTCGGATCCTAAACTTTCAAACCAGGTCGAATTGAACTTTGATATGCAATGAAATTTTCTAATTGGAATTGGATAGTCGCTATGAAAATACGAAATATTTTTTATGGCTCTTTGTATTCGATAATTAACATACCATACACATTTCTCACAGGACTAGAGTTCATCAGGTCTTATATTTTCAGATCTAGATCTAGCCGGGTGAAAACCAATCTGATGGGCCCTAAGGTCGATACACCTATACCAAAACATTCCTTATATATTTAGCATATCATTAACACTAAGTCAAACAGTCAATTTTCAAAGCAAAGACAACTGCAGTCTTTCAACAAAGAATTAGTTAAAGTATATCTGACATTTGTTGTCTTTGTAAACTCTCATTCTACTTTTCTTTGTCTATTGTTGTTTTATGTTTCTGTTTCTTATTGATTTTTTAATGCAATCTTGTAGAATAACTAAATCATATCGACTCGAAATAATTTTATTTGTATTTTTCCTTTAAATTTTCTTCAGCAAGGATCTATCTAGGACTGATGTGTCCATCCGTAGTTGTTCGACTTCAGTGTTTTATGCAGCGTGAGAGCCAACAAGGTGATGTTCGACCCTCCGGAAAGGAAAATCTCGATGAAACAGTACTTGTGTCCTTTTACAGTCACGTGAACAAAGTATTAATCATTACAATCTTTTCAAATCGGTATATGTTCAACAGAAATTGATAACGATAATTATTCAATTTGAGTAAAGTCCTTCGTGCTGAATCAACGAAATGTTTTTTTCGATTTTCAATCTTAATATAAAAAGAAAAAAAGAACATTCCAAAAGTAACAATTGCAATTATACATTGTATTAAAAGTTGTTTTCTTTTCACTTATTCAATACAAAAAACAGACGAAACACGTCATACAATAGTTGTTTAATAAACTATTTTAAATAGAAATTTATTCATTTTATTTCAGCTGGTAAATGAACATTATCTGCATATTGATTTGGAATGTTACCAGGAGGATCAAAGATAACAACACCATACCACCAATTTCCATCATCAGATCGAGCTCTTCCAACACCAATTTCTCGTGATGCTCGCCAAACTAATTGTGTAAAATTTTCCGTATCTTTACGTCCATCATAACCAAACATATATCGTTTTCCTTCTTTCATCCATTTTCTGACCATTTTTTCTCCTGCAAAAAATAAAATTTAAATGATTTCTTATGATAAATAAAAAACATATGACTTAAACCTGTTAATTCAGCTTGAAATGATGCAGCATAATTTTCTCCAAGTGTTTGTCGTCCTAAATTACGCCACTCAGCTGGACTATGTTCTAATTTACCAGTACTAGCCATTTGTTCTGCCCAACGTTGAGCTATTTCAGATAATTGATCATTAAGTTCTAATGGTTGAGCTTCATATCGACGGCGAAAACCATTGATTGCTTGAAGAGTTGCTTGAGCAAATATTTCATTAGGATCTGATACACCAATATCGTCTGCTGAAAGAAATAAACATTAAATCCTACTTAATACATAGAAAATAAATACCTGACGCAGCTGAAATAACACGTGTGTCATATTTTCCAACGAGACCTGTTCCAGTTGTACCACTAAATGAATCATCAAGTGAATTTAATTCAGTCGGACTGAAAGGTCGTTCTCTACGAGGTGCAGGTTTGCGTGCCCGTGCATAAACATTTGGTTTATTCTTTTTAAATTTTTTCATAAAGAATGCAGCAATACCTGATGTAGCATAAAAAACATTTTTTTCTAAACATTTTATAATTATTCTAACTCTTCTTACCAATACCAATCCCAGTGAATAATAAACCTGTAATAGAATTGGTCAACCTGAAAATATTTAAAAATGGTAATGGAAAAATTCTGTTCAATTTATGTTATACATACCACATATACCAATAAGACTGAAGACATACACTGAATTGAACTGCTGAAAGTCCCATTTTTTAACCTTAAGAAATGCTTGTTGTTTTGTGCAAATGCACACAAAGAAATATATGTCTTCTTTTTAAATGAAGTAAAAAAATGTTTGTTTCTGTGAAAGATAAAAAGTGCGAAGTGAAAATGAAAGCGAAAAAGACTCATGACAATGTACAGAATATGCATTTTTGCTGGAGCATTTTGTTTCATCTCATCATTAAAAAGAAAAACATAATGTCAATTCAGTTTAATGCCATTACCATGCTTTGTCGTTTCGCAGGCGTTGCCATATTTCTCTTTGTGATTAAATTCAAAAAACAGCAATTATAATGTTGGACGTTTGATCTATGAAAAAAAAACAACAGAGTATTTTCTTTTCGTTTTTTTTTCTGTTATTATACTTGTAATGAATGAAATAAATTGGCGAAAGTCGAAAAAAACCTAGTTGATGGTGTTATTTCCTTAGTAAAATAAGAAAGAGTTTTATGAAATTGATCATTTGTTATTTGATAATATCGAACTATTTCATGTAATGTTTCTTGACAATTAGAAACAAATTTCTGTAATGATTCAATTATTTAATATCATTTTATATTCAGAAGAATTTATAATTTTTACTTGAATTTCTATGTTTTCTTCGAATTTATTTATGCATAATTGAATTTGCTAAAATATAAACAAAAAAAAATTAATAAATTCTTTTTTTTGTATTGTATACTTCAAACTCTTGTTTTATTTCGTCAATTCCAGATTTAATTAAATCTAAATCGACTAAAAAAACCAAAATTTAAAAAACCAAAACTTATGAATTAAAATAATTCAACTTTTGCTTGCAGATAAAATTAATTTATAATTTTGTTTAAGACCAAATATTTCTGAATGATGATCATTACATATTTCTGAAACAATACTCATTATTGGTATACGTGTTTTTGATGTCTTTAAATCACATATCTTAAAGTAAAACAGAATATTTAGTAAAAAAGAAAAAAAGACAAATAAAGTTATTTTCAAACTTTTGACAAATCATCAAGTGTAAGAATTCGCTGTGTTGCTGTTGGATTTAAATGATTAACTACAGAAAGTATGATCTAAATTGAAATGTTTTTTAAATTAAATGCAAAATCAATCAAGAATATAAGAACTGACTTCAAGTAATTTTTTAATATGCTTTGATTGATATAAAAAGCAACTAGCTTCATTTATTAGATGCATTTGATCTTTTAATAAATGATAATTATCAGCAAAGATTAGTTTAAATTTTAATGTATTTAATCGGTCCGTATAAAATGGTATTTGAATAATCTATAATTCAACATTTTATATTGTAGAATTCGTTAATTATTTTAACTCACCTCATACATTAGTCGATCCGTTGGAGGTAATTTTTCTTTATCAATAGATAAATGACGAAAAGCATCGATCTATTTTTAATAGTAAAAAATTTGAGATAGTTAGGTTTAATTTTAATAAAATATAAAAATGATTTGCACATGTTAATTTTTAACTTTGAATATCAACAGTATTCCGATGTAATTCATAGAAGACATTTACTGATCTTTCTGCGTTTTAAATGAAATTATCAAGACTCGAGTCATTTTATCTTTTTTTATATCCCTAAACTCACACGTGTTCATAAATATTATGATTTAATTTATTTTTTACGTTATCGAAGGATTGCTTAATCAGGACACAGGATATATCCGTTTATTATCAATTTTAATTTGTATGATAATTCTTATCAAATAGGTTTTTTGTAAGCTGTAGAATCCTTTAATAGCGAAGCATAATTTTGTTGAATTTCTAACTCAATAGACTATTGCGTACTTAAAGTTTTTTTTTTAATCATTTAGTCAAACAGAAACAGAACAAGCCAATATATTTATTCGTAAGAAAGACCCATGTTTTTCGATGAGAAAAAAAAACAAACTGGTGAAACTCAATACTTTTTAACTTGCTTTTTTTAACTACAAGAAAGAAAAACAAGTCGTTTTGAAAGCTTAAATACATGTTCTTTTTTTTTACACATCAAAACTTTTTTTCGTTTCTTGTCTGCTTAAGTAGTACTATAGAATATTAACGATAGGCAATGCTGACAAGTCTTTCTATTTTCATCTTAAAAGATCATAAAAACGATAAGAAAAAGAGCAAGTTAAAAGTCAGAAAAGAATAAAAACAAAATCAGTACAGAACATGTTTTAATATCATGTTAATGTTCATATAAAGTGTGCCGTCCAATATAAAATCGAACTTAAAAAAACAATTTTCTGATTGAATTTTATTTTCTTGCATATATTTACCTCGATATCATTAGGTATATATTGAATTAAATGTTGTACGAGTTCGATTGAAATCATTTCGAAATCAAAGTTTTTTATTGCTTGAGCTATTTCAATAGGACTACGTTTATTAAATGCCAATATAATGCCTAGAAACAAAGAAAGTTCGTCACCGAATAAATTGACAATGATTCTTGAGTTGATTTTCTCTTTCAAAGTGCTTGGAGACAATCATTCACCTTAGGCTTCGTTTCATTCTTGTCAAGATAAAACAAAATCGAGTATCTTATTAGTATTTCATCTCTAGATAAACGCACGTAAAATATGTGCAATACTGACTCTATTATATATACAGAAAAAATGTCACCGACATCAATGCGGACCTGCCGCAATAAAAAAGAACAAAAAATCACAGTCAAATACATTGATTTGATCAAATCAAAAGAAATGATTTGGCTAATGAAAAATAGAAATTAATGTTTATTAATAAGCTGCGATCGATGTGTCTTTAAAACCTTATGGCGAACCAAACTCAAATGTAAAACGTCCTGGAGTTGGACGTATTATTCCAGTGCTGTAATAATAACGAATAGCTCGTGCTAATTTATCATATGTCATTACTAAAACAAAAAAAAATAAAGAAATTTATAATTATTATAAATAAAAATAAAATCAATGTACCTCTATCTGAATTTCGGCCCTTGACGTGTTGCCATAATTCAGCGGCAGTACTTTTCTCATAAAATTTAAAAATGCCTTTCCTTTTATCAACATATGCAGCAACATAAGAATAATTTGGATTATCAAGCAATTGCCGAAGAAATTCATGTAATAAGGGTCTACGTTGTCTTCCAGTGATCCCATCCATGACATACCATTCACGTACATTTGTTTGTGGCAAATTTGATCGTACTCGATCTTGTTTTCTTTTCCGAGGTTTTTTCATAGGTGGTGATGATGGTGATAGATCAAAATCTGGTGTAGGTGTTGGAATAGTAGGTATGCAATCGGCCATTTCAACAAGTCCAAAATCACAATTTATATCAGAAATTACATCATAAATTAGTTCGCTTTGCGCATATGCATTTGAATCTTGATTTCTATCAAACATTTTTGTAACTGCGTCATTATCAACGTTGGCTTGATCAAATATGGGTGGTTCCAATGAACGAACAACCGGTAGTAATGACATCGGGTTAGACGAATCACTACAAAATTTCATCACAGGATCGTTTGATCCATTTTGCAATGTTTGTGCATGTTGGTATATCCAAGCCACGAGATCATCGGTATTGTCAAACTGCTTTCCTCCAGAAGAACTTGATCGACCTAGATATTGATCGAATTCGTTACGCGAAGGAGGGTACGACGATGATGGATTCATATTAGAAGACAAAATGAAGTTTCATATATTTAAGTCAGAACGAAAGAAAAAATGGATTGTATCTTGTATATACATATATATATATGTGAAGGATTTTTTTCTCATTTTGTGATTCTTTTTCTTTCTTTCTCTTTTTTCTTTCTTTCTCTTTTTGACAAAAAAATAAAATATTTTGAAAGATCAGCATTTCTTCATTTTCTTTTTTTCCAATCGACGAAAATATGATGTATAAATAATTGTTGTTTTTTGCGCTTCATTTGTTCATGACAAACAAAACATAACATATGAGCTTATGAAATATTTATGTATTTTTTTATGCTTTTTCATAATAAAAACTAGACTATATTAAATTTTTTTATTTCATCATAAAAGATTACGTGTGTTGTATATTTATCAGCGAAATAAGATATTTTGGGCCTTACCCTTTTAGATGACAAAGGTTTTTTTTTTTCTTCGCTTTCCAACGCATAAATATCAGTGTTTTCGTTTCTTCTGAATCTTTTTGTTTTATTTTTTTTTTCATGAGTCATTCGCAAAACGTAAAGTATATTTCGCCGACAAGCTCACTTTTATGTGAAAATAATGTTTTCGGTTGAAATCATGCTTTTGTATTCCAGTAACCAAGTGAAGAACACTTTCGTATTTGTCAGAAAAACTATTTTCGTTTCTACCCTTCTGTCACCTTGATAGAAAGAGAAACATTATGACTCATTTATGTATAAATAAAATACGCATTATTGGTAATTTGGTAAAATGCGAAAAAAAATATTAACTAATTTGGAAAAATCGTACAAACCAAGGTTATATGATTTACGATTGTCAAGAATCGTTTTGATTTTTGACTCATTCATTGTATTTGAATTTTCTTAAGAGAAAAAAAACAAAATTTTGTTTTAAAAAAAAAGTTTTTTAAATGATTTACTTTCATTTATTGTTTTAATTAATGGATTAAAATAGCCAGCAACATCGTAATTTTCCGCCTATAGAAAAACTGATTCAAGATGGGAGTAAAAAAACACAAAAAATTGTCATGATTCCTTGTTGCATTTTATTTTAGTGACTCAAAATCAATAACATTGAATTTTTCTTGTAAAAAATCAAATTAATATCTTTCGTAAGTACTTGAAGTGATTTCTTACAAGCGAGGTTAAAAATAAATAACTCTTACTTTGGACCATAAAGTTTCTTGATCAGGTGAAATAATTGCTGTTTTAAATGACTTTGATTGTAATTTAATTGCTAAATCGAACGAGTTTGGTAATGGTGGAGCTTGAGGAATAGATACTTTTGTGTCTGCTTTAATTTCAATCAATGATGGTGATCGAGTACTAGACACAGATTTAACTATTGGTATTGATAGTTTAGAGTTTTCATTTTTTGTAATTTCTATTGATACACGTCGTGTAGTATTTTTTCGTGGGAACGAAGTAGGACTGTGGAATAAAGAAAGTTGATCAATATCAGTGACACGATTTGATTCTTTTCTATTATATATTTTTTCAAATTTTTGAATTTTATTTGTTGCTGAACGAATTACATGACCCACAATTGATGTATCATTTGATGAACGAGTAATAGAATCTGAATCACAACCAAGAAAATAAAGTTGAAACTGAATATCTGATTCATTCGATGATGGTAACATGATAATCTAAAAATTTTTATTAGCTCTTGTAAAAGATAATTAACATGAAATTCTCGTTCAAAATTCAAAAGGTTCGATTATTGGAAAAAATTCAGTTATGCATTAAAATTTCTTTTTATCACCACTAGAGTCCGTCTGATTGGGCTAGATCTAGATTTTGAACCATAACAACGGTTCATACTCGTAAAGTAGCAAGTTCATTATAACTTGATTATTGTAGCATCGTTCTCAAGATTGTTTGAGTGATGTATCCCGAGCAAAATACAAATAATCGATAAAAAGTATTGCGTATCTTTGAAGTGATTTGACGATTCCTGAAAGCATGTTTCTATGTGTCGAATAGTTTTTGAGTCAGGACTATATATATCATACAGGTTCTAATGAGCAATGAATACTCTGAGAAGAGTTCGGCTTAATAACTTATTGCTGCTGAGGCACCATATGTTTTAGAAAAATTCCATGGTTTTTCTCATGGACATCAAGAAAAATCTTTTTTGGAATTTATTTGAAAATTTACACAGTGACAGACCTAATGAAGTATAATTTATTGTAAAAGTTTTGAATTGTTTAATTGCGCTTATTTTAAAACAAGAACATTAAAACTTACCTTTATATATGAGCTGCGTAACAAATATGCTTTGGTCTTTATGGGAAGTGTCAGGTTGCAGTTCGAAATTCTGTTTTCTTAATGTTTATGAGAAAAAGCAGAACATTCTGCTAAAAATACAAGATCTCGGCAGTAATAAGCTGTTAATTCGAACTCTTTTCAGGATATTCATAGCTCATGAGAGTCTACATGATGCACATAGAAACAATTTAAGAGCGATTTGACACCTAGAGAAACATTTCCTAATCCAAATTAATACATTTCGTCGACATTAAGAATATGGTTTGGGTCCAGGTTTAGGCCTGAAACACTTTCACTAAATCAGATCTAAATATTTAGGAATAGACTAGGTTCACTCGCAGTCGATTCAAGATACATAATATCATAATGCAATGTTTACAACAAATCTATAGAACTGTGCATACAACTTCAAACAATACTGAATCATAAGTCATGCAAAGTGTTTCTACTATATAGTGTAAAAGTTTAGCAGTAATTTTCTTTTTAGTACGGCGTGACAGCAGCTCATTATGGAGCCTCGATATTTTTATTGTTAGAATGAGTGAAGTCTCTACTATAGAACAGTATAATAATAGTTCGTTCGAAATACTTACCGAAAGCTATAAAGTTTTAAAAACATATTTGATTGAAAAAGTATCTTTTGATCGATTTGTCTTGCATTCAGCTTTCAAAATTTTTAGGCATGCTATACGTGAGTGTAGTTGTGCGATACGGGCTTTCTAGTGATATCACAGTACTCGAATTATAAAATTATAGGTTCCACAGAAAATAGTTTCATTAAAAAAGTTAAGTTTCCCTCAACAACGTTCAATGGAATTTTTCTCGTAATATCTAATGTTCTGTTTTATATAATGTGCTCTTAATGACAGTTCACTAAACTCTAATTGGTTCCAAAATATGGAGTTGCACTTGTTTATAATGAGCTATCGTAGTACTGCAAAATTCGGCAAAAGACAGAAAATAATTTCTAAATGAATGGAGATTTTCTTCTAAATTTCAGAAGCGTCCAAAGAACTTTTCAGTTCTCAGTACTTATTTTGAACAAATTATTTTTACAAAACTTTGTAGTAGAGATTTCCCTCTTTCAAATAAGAAAACTATGCAATCCTCACGATACGTTGTCGTCACGCTACAATCAATTGATAATTCAAACGAAATATGACATGGTGATTTCTTTTACATGAGAAACATAAACAATTTTCGTTGTTCTCTATACAATTGAAGAGTTTCCTATTAATACTTATAACTATAAATAAAAGGCTCGATTTCATGCTTAAAGATGAACTGTACAAACCTTCTTCATAATCTGTTAAATGTTAGTGAATAACTACATTGCAATGAGAGAGATATAAAAAAAACCACACGACCACTCATTTTTAGCAGCTATGATTTAGAACAAATATTCGAAAATTCAAATTTTTGTACAAAATTTTATATAGAAGCAATACAATAAAAATCATTGTTTTGTATTTCTATATCTCTTATGGATGATTAATATTTTTTTAATATGCATAATTTACTTATCAATACTAAATAGCATTTTGTAGTTCGATAAAGGTCTAATAATTCGTTTGATAAGAAAATATCTTCGACCTTTATTCATTTCAAAAGACATTCAACATCTTTTTTTGTTTTCATTTTACAAACAAATATGAGGGCAAAATTTACCATTTTAATAAATATAAACATATCAATATTTATATTCCTAGTCTATTTGTCTTCTGTAACAAGTATTAATGATAAATGTGATGATAAAATATTTATGTTAATTTCAACTAAAAATATTTTTCTACTCAATTTTGATTTCGAACAAAAGTATTCACCGAGTATTATCTATGAAACAAAACCAAATACAACTATTGAAAATGGTTTATTTTATAAACGAACAAATACAATGATTTTATTAATTAATCAATTAAATGAAACATATTCTATAGTTACATTACATATTTATGATACTATATATAATTATTGGATAGAAAAATCAAACAATGTTAAATATTCAACATATATTTCTATCTCACTTGGTCAACGTTATTTATACGTATTAAATAATCAAACAATGTTATTACAAATATTTACTTTACCATTAACATCAACACCTTATAAACAAACTTATTTACTAGATTTACCAAAAAATCAAACAATATTAAATTATATTATTGATGAAAAATTTAATTCTTTATGGATTTTATTTGAAACTGCTTCATATCAATTATATGTATGTCAATTAAAAACTTATCATTGTTACTTATATATGAATTTAATTAATTTAAATAAACCAGTACAAGTATATATTAATTGGATACATCAAAAATTATATATTAATTCAAAAAATTCTTTAATTATATTTGATTATAATCAAAATCATACGGATTATAAAATTCATTATTTTAATTCTACACAAGAAAATCAAAATCAATTTTTAACAATATGTGAAAAAACTAATTTTATTGAATATTTATCTATTGATTATACTAATAAACAACAAATATGTTTACAAACATGTCAATATTTACCATTAATATTAAATGATACAAATCATATACATACAATACGAAGAGTTTCAATCATATCGAATATTTTTTATTGTTCAAAACAACGACAAATTGCTAAAATAATTATAATGATTTTAATTTTGATTGATATTGCAGTAATATTAGGAGTTATTATTTGGTTAACATATAAATATGTTCATCAATCAACATTAAATAACGATAGAAAACAAATGAGTAGTGGAACTATTTGGACAAGTGATAACGATTCTGTAACACATTTTTAAATATAAAACAAACCATTAAATAATCTCGCAAGTTAAATAAATTTTAGATCAAAAAAAAAAGAATAATTAAAGATTGTTAAGTAATAAAATTAAAATTTTATTGACTCACATTCATTGCAATAGTTAGTTTTTTTTCATGATTTTTTTTCTTTTTAATATTTTATTCAATTTTGTAGGTATTCTGAAGATGAAAATGAAATTCAAATATTTCTACTAAAAATCATCTATGTCAAATGATCATGATTTGATTAAATATACTGTACAAAAAATAAGATGTACAAAAGAATCAAAAAAAGATTTACGAGAGTAGTCTCTCAACTTATTAATCACTTTGAAGTCTGGACTTTGTAAGTAGTGTAGATCCTAATGAGTTAAGAGTATTCTGCAGTCTTACAATCTGTTTTAAACCAATGTCGTGTTCCATCTCAGGAACACAAAGAAAACTTATTTTCAAATTTTGATCTGAAAGTTTGCATAAAGATTGATCTTAATGACAAAAGTTTATTGTCAAAGTTTCACCTCTATCAGTTTGCTTCTTTTCTAAAACAAGAATATCAAATCTGCTGGTGTATGTGTACAGTGTAAAAGGCAACGTATTATTGTAGTTGTATATTGAGGTAGGAACAACTGAACAATTTGAAACGTTCACAATAAACTGTTCTTATTAACTTCAGTATTTATGGAAAGTTTCAAATCAAAAATCGACAAATGAGTTTTTTTAGTATTCTTGAGGGGAGCACGGCATTGACTTGAAAAAATACCAGAAAACTACAATAACTCGGTAATAACAAGCTAAGGAGTCGAGTTCTTCTTAGAATAGTCATAGCTTATTAGAGTCTGCATGATGAACACAGTCTAAACACAAAAGTAATTTATCAATTGATGGACTTCCCTTATTAATCTATTTTTACAGCTCTTTGTAGGTTTTTTTACGTGAGAGGAGCTCAAAATTTGTCAATTAGTCTGATAGAAAGCTGATTTTGACCATTTGGCAGAGTTTTAATGCAACAATTCAATATTTTTACAGGAAGGAAAGAAGGAATAACGTTCTTGCCTGCGAGCTACCATGCCATATGAAATGCTGCCTAGCAGCTAATTCAATAGCTTCATATCCTCCTTACAATTATGATTAGCAGTAGCTCTGAAGAGAGAGCCAGTATGACACAGAGTTCTTGCACAGACGGGTGATTCAAGAGAAATAGCAGTTAGTGACTTGTTCCGGGTCATTTCATGCCTAGTGGTATTGAAGTTTTCACACAGCACAATCAAGATACGTGTCAAAATAAGTAGTCGCTCAGTCATTGTGACCATACTTTATAGGTACGAAGCCTAAAGCTCGGGAGGGTCTATCCCTCCTGTGAACAAGAGGCATATCTTCGGAAGAAATTAAGAAAAGATTCCGGTGTATGTCCAAGATAGCGGTCGAAACTAAAAACGAACTCTATAATGCTGTGATCAATATCCAAATTTCATAGCTCAAGCGAGGTCTTTTAACTTGATACTATAGACTTTCTTCTAAAATTTATATTGTTTAATACTTACAACATGTTACAATTGCTGCTGTTACATTTATTTGCATTTTCGACATATTTAAATAGAATAGTCTTTTCAATATTTTCGGTATTGTCTTCATTTTTCTGTACATATATAATCAGTAAGACTGATCTATACTCTATGTAATTCATTTTTTTTTCTTACGGTGTTTCGATATTTCGTACGATCAATTTATGTTCTCTAGTGCTATTACTTTTCATATAGAGAATTTAAAAATCTTATTGAAAGAAAACCCCAGATTATCATTTAGAAAATATTTTCATGTGACTTCAAGAAAAACGTTTTTTTTATCTCTTGACTTTGATTGCTGAACAATTGCTTACTATAAAAAACTACCTTCTTTAACGACTTCTGGAAGTAAGATATCAAAAAATGCAAAATTCGAGTGCATTTTATTTTCTGTTCTTTCATATAACATTCAATAGAACTTCAAAAGCTGCTCACGAATATTTGTGTTTTATTTCGATTCGATTACTATTTAGCTTGGACAAACACCTTCAAATACATCAAATGACGAAAATATAGTATTTGTAGCCCACCAAGGCACTTTTTCTTGAGAAACTGTTGATTCTTGATTATCTTAATTTTATAAACTTTTCGAAAACATAATATTCAAAATCAGAATGAAAAGCTGAGTAGAAAAATGCTATTTAATAAGATGTAAAATTATTAAGATTAAAAAGTCCTATCCGACATATCTAGATTCATCAAACTTGAAACATGTATCTGTAAGCGTTTTTTGTAAACCAATCTAGGTTTTGTAAGAAGAAATAGAAGCAAATGTCTTGTCCCATTAGAATCATCAGGTCATGAGCAGCACAAGTACCGCTTCAGCTTTTTTAGATTTTATTTTATTCTTAGGAAACTTGAATTTTTTTTCTCATCTGGTAGTAATGTGTGGCGAAAAGAAAAAAAAAATATTTGTATTTAGCAATTTTAATTATCATGGTCCAGCCATGAAAGCAATGCAGATAGCATATTCGAAATTAGTGTCGAAAACTGTACTGAACCATATATGTTTTAATAACAACTATTTTCGATGGAAAACCAACTTGTAGTCTTCCTCAGATCTATTTTTCTAAAATTTTGCCCCTAGCGCCTTCCAGGGATCGATTTTTCGCAGAACAGAAGGTCTTTTAGAACATGTAGTATTCAATGTAGTTTTCGACACTAATTCCGAATATGCTATCTACATTGCTTTCATGGCTGGACCATGATAATTAAAATTGCTAAATACAAATATGTTTTTTTTCTTTTCGCCTCACATTACTACCAGATGAGAAAAAAAATTCAAGTTTCCTAAGAATAAAATAAAATCTAAAAAAGCTGAAGCGGTACTTGTGCTGCTCATGACCTGATGATTCTAATGAAATAAGACATTTGCTTCTCTTTCTTCTTACAAAACCTAGATTGGTTTACAAAAAACGCTCACAGATACATGCTTCAAGTTTGATGAATCTAGATGTGTCGGATAGGACTTTTTAATCTTAATAATTTTACATCTTATTAAATAGCATTTTTCTACTCAGCTTTTCATACTGATTTTGAATATAATGTTTTCGAAAAGTTTATAAAATTAAGATAATCAAGAATCAACAGTTTCTCAAGAAAAAGTGCATTGGTGGGCTACAAATACTATATTTTCGTCATTTGATGTATTTAAAGGTGTTTGTCCAAGCTAAATAGTAATCGAATCTTATATGAAAGAACAGAAAATAAAATGCACTCGAATTTTGCATTTTTGACACCTTACTTATTGCATTATCTCTATGAAAATTTCTCATAACATTATTTATTTTAACGCAGAAAAAACCTCAATCTTTTTACTTACTTCACATATACGAAAAATGCCATCCTTGTCTAGAGGAGTATTATAACTGTATGTAACAGCTTGTTATATTATATTTCTTTTTTTTTTTTTTTTTGAAGGTTTTTCTTTTGTCGGATGCTTTATTTCTCTTTGTGGAAATATTTCTCATAAATACATATTTCAATACACATACACATACAAGGACATTAAAAAAAAGAAGAAACATCAATTACATGTTAATCGACAACATTAAACAATATGAAAGAACTCGAATGGATGAGAAATAATATTCTATTTCATTATAATTCTGCGTCAGAATCTAAAAAAAAAGAAAAAATGATAGAAAATTTCAAATTTGAACTATTTTCAATTGAAATAGCCAAACAATCAAAATCAGCATATGAAAAAAAAAAATGTTAGCAAGCAAAACAAAAACAACTACCATGACATTCTAATAAAAGAACATCGTGCATGAAACCACGAAGCGTGCTTAAAATCCGATGATTTTTATTAACTATGTGCAGTAAAAAGCGGGTACGTGCATGTTAATATAAATGTTTTGTTAGACTAAATTTGAAAATGTGAAACTTACTTGGCGGAATGAGTGAACCAATTTTTTTTTCTTGTAATTCATTTAATAACGGTAAATAAGCAAAAATCTATTCAAGAAAAAAATAAATAATTTTGTTTTTAATAAAATCTTTGTCTTTAAACCTGAAGTAGACTACGAAATATTAATTTAGCTTCTGGTTGTGTACGTGTTGTTAACATTTGAATATATAATGCATATAAATAAAAACATTGAATATTACGAACAGTTTCTTGATCATGAAGTGTTTCATCTAAAATGGACTAGTTATTTTAAAAGAATTTTCATTGTTAGAAAACATTTGTTAATTATACATTAAAATGTTCTTTTTAATATTAATTTCTATTTTTTTTTTTTTTTGATTATTTTCAAGAAACATGACTCAGGATGGTAATAAGATAAGTAAGTCAACGGTTTCCTTTTTTTGTCAAAGTGTTTGTACGAATAAAAAAAACAACATATCTAGAATTTTACCTTTAAGACAAATAACAACAGGAAATATTAAAGCATGTTCTTCATGCGTTAAACGTAAGGCATTAAATTTATTAGCAAAATCAAACATTGTTTGAACCATTTCTTCACCAATGATTTTATTCATCCATTGTCGTGTATATTGAAGTCCATTGGGTAACATCATATATGATTCATTGTTACCAATTAATGGTGCATGTTTAATCTAAATAAAATAAGAAGTATCATTAAACAATAAGAAAAGACCGATTGAATTTTGCTTACAAGCCAAAAGTCAAATAGACGATTGTTCATTATTTTATGAAAATCGTCCGGATCAATTTCATTGATTGCTGGCATCTAAATATAAAATTTTGGTTTCTTTCTATTTCTTTTTATGTTATTGAAAAATAATATATAATATGAAGGTTAAATATTCATTTCAAAGTATATGAAGATAAAAAACAAATAGTGCATCTTTTATTTCCATGAAATGTTCTTTCTAAATATTTCCTTTGACAAAATATTTTAAGGTCAAACGAGTTCTAATATTATCCTTAGTTATACGCAATTATATAAAGTTTATCTGTTAAGCTTCTCTTCTTTGAACTTTATGCTGCAAGCAATTGAAGAATTAAGAACAGAAGATAATTTCTACTGCACTTACTTCTCGTGCAAAAGCGATGAGATTTTTAACATGAAATGGAATAGCATCTGAAATTACATATACATATATACATGTAAGAAAAAAAGCACTCAAATTTCATTGAAATAAACCTGTGAGCCCGGCCCAGATATCTTGAAGTGATGAAGAATTTCCCGGAAAATCTGTAATCTAATAAAAAAAACATTAAAATACAAAATTAAAAAAAAACAATAATATTCTATATCCTTACTCCAAGATGAATCATACTATTCATTCGTTCAATTAATTGTCTTGTACGTCCATTATATGTATTACTTAAATCAAACATTTTCCAACGAAGATATCGAATGAATGATGATTCATCATAATCAAGTTCTGTACATGTTGTTGGATGTGATATTTTTGTCACAATATTTTTCATACGTTCAATAACATTATTTGCAAAACGTTCTTCACAATTTGTCATGTAATTAGTTAAAGCTAAATGATTTAATTTAACGATACGTTTATCATCTTCTTTATCATCTCTTTGTCTTGTTTCATCTATTGTAAAATTATCTGGTAATTCATAATTATGACATGATGATGATACTGTAGTTGATGGTATTCGTGGTGGTGAATGACATTTAAACTGACTATCATTCGGTATAGTATCTAATTCAGCAAAAAGTAAATGTTCATCAATAAATGGTAAATTTAAATCAACTGTTGTTGATGTTGATATAGGATTATGTGAATTTATATTTATTGATGGAACACGTGGTGATGATAATTGAGTTGGATCTTCATTTTCTATAGTTGATGATACATGTTCAGCTAAAGCTTTTTCTTTTATTAATTTAGGTATTCGACCCATTCGAACGCCTAAAATATAATAAACGAAATAGATTCATAATAAGATGAGTTTGTAAAAAATAATGTAAAAAGTATTGTTTATTATTTTCATGAAGCTAGATTATTCTTTGTTTTTTAATTATTTGAAAAACTTATTCATGAATAAAAAAACAACGTAATCAAAAAATTTCAATTAGATGTAAGACACAAACCTTCTACAGACATTCCTTCTTTAAGACATTTTTGAAAACGACATGATTTGCATCTGTTACGATTGTCACTATTAATTGTACATTTGTCACCAAAATAACATCGATATTTTTCTTTTCGTAATATACTTCGTTTGAAGAAACCCTATAATAAACAAATATATATTCAAATTCATATGTTAAGAAAAAAACCAATTTAAGTTTTTGAAAATTCTCTTTGCTTTCAACTGATATATTTATCATAGATCATAAAGAGTCTTTTATACATAAAATAAGTTGATATCATTTTCATTGGAAAGAAGATATGAAATACTATATAGTTCTTTATTTTTAATCAATCTATAAATAATAAGCAAGCATCTGTTCAAATATAAATTTACTTTGCATCCTTCACAGGTTGGGACACCATAATGAGCACCGGTAGCTTTATCCGCACAAACACGACTATGGATATAAAAATAGCTAGACAACGACTAAAATAAAATAAATTCTTACCAATGTCCAAAGGGAAAAGGTCTTTTATCAACAGATGTATTTGTTGATATTGTTTTTCCAATCTGCTCTATTTGTTTTTCATTTGTTAATCTATCAATAGACGATCTAATTAATGATTTTACACGACGAAGCTTTCGTTTTCGTACAGCACTGGGTTGTTTATTATGGACTGTTACTGATGTAGTATTGTTAGTTTCATTGGTTACTAAAAATTTTAAAATAATAATAAAAATAAAACAAAACATTAATTTGTATTATATTTACCTTCATTCATTAGTCTATGCATTATTTTTCTCAATAAAAATTTGTTAATTCATCAAAATCAACCTATAAAACAAATACGATAAAATCAACAATATAAATACCCCCCCAATCATTGAAAGGTGTCACGAGTGCATTAGTTGTTTGTTCTTGCTGTTTGTATGTAGCATACATTCGCTTGGTAAAAGGCTATGTGACTTTAATTACTGTAAAAGTATCCGTGCGCAAAATCGGTCGAGACAATATTTTTTATTATATATGACCTTTATCTATGTCTCTTGTATATTTCAAATAATGATAAAACATTGAAACTCACCTTATTAATACGATAGTAATAATTGCCGTGTTTTTTTTAATAGTGCAATGAAATATTCTAAAATAAATAATATATAGTTCTGTATGAAGAAAATACTCAAAAAACAACAATATAGTTGTAGTGCTATGAAAGCGGTTCTTTTAGGTTTGTGTCGTTTTAAATAAAAGAAAGAAAAAAAAAAGCGACACCCGCTAAAGGGGTGCTTGGTGCACCAACTACATTACAGAAAGAGAAGAGTGACTGTGCATGTGTGAGAAATCTACGTCACTCCCTTCCAACCCGACTACAACAAAAAGAAAAAAAAAAGAAGAAAAAAAAGAAAATAGATGATGTATGTCATAGTATTCTATTAAACATATCATCAACCGTTTGACTATCAAACGAAAAAAAAATGATTTATTGCTTGTGAAAACCATGCTTTTTTAAAAGTTCACCATAAGACTAAAATGAGTTTTTCCTCAATCTTATTCATTAATCCAAATAGAATAAAAAATAAAACAAATATATTTATCTTACAGAAAGAAAGAAATAAACTTTTGATCTTAACATACAGGAAAAAAAAACGTCCTTTTTTCACACAAATATTATTACATATATGCGACAAGTCCGAGTATTATCAACATTATTTTCATAATTATCTTAATAATAAGCTTGAAAAAAAAAATCATCGTTTCCATTATAATAAATACGAGTCTAATCAAGTCATCGGGAAAGGCTATTTAAAACAAAACAAAACTCTAGAAATAAAAATCATATAATTCTATTTGTTTTAAACTATTCTATTAGTTATCGTACAAATTATTCCTTATAATGATTAATTTTATCTACAAAGAAAAACAGCAAATATCTTGTTACGCTCAAAAACTAAAGACAAAAAAAAGGTTTATATTTTAAGTTGTTAACAATGCACTTTGTAAATCTTAATGTCGAAGATATTTTTATGTCTTGAAATAGAATACATGTTTCTTCTCTTTAATTACTAAAGTTCACTTTTCTATAATTAATGAAAGATATATGAGATGCATATTTTTTTTTCAACCATAAAACATGAATTATTCAAAGCACTTCTTATCCCTTCCTTTCATTGAAATTAACATATTTTAATATAGTCATTGTATAAAAACAATTGGCCACGAAATATAATTTCTTTTTATTGATTTTCTGGTAATTTATTTATTATAAATCGATAAAAAACAAAATTCTCATTTATACGTATATTTCGTCGTTTTATTTAGATAATTTAAAGAAAGCACTAGAATTTGAGAGGTCAAAAAAACAACATAGCGGCCAATATTACTTATTCTTTGAAGTAAATTTAATTAAATCAGCTTACGTGTTTTTTTTTGTTTAAAAATATCTAACCAAATGATGAAATATTCTAAGTACATATTTCCTGTATAATATGGTTTTTCTGAGACTCAAAATAATTCTACAAAAATATACTTTTATACTATAGTCTTCCCGAATTCTTATTACTTCAAAGCATTTTTGTGATCTTTTTACCGGAAATTTGGAGAAGCATGAAATAAACAAGGATTAATAATATAAAAAGAGAAAAAAAAGATAATTCGATGAGATTAGATTATAAACATATACTCATTAGCAGTGTTTCTAATAAGAGAAAAGCAGATAATTCTAGAACTTCAAGACTTCGACAACTGCGTAGAATTTTTGCAGTTTTAAAACTAATTAATTTTGATGGATGAATGACAATAATGAATAATAACGCATTTATATAAGAGAAAAAAACATTTCTTTTAAACGTATTTTAAAAAATTAAAAAGACAACGCCGTTAATGACTCTAAGTGCTTTTTATAACATTAAGTTCTATACTTTGTATATTTCTGGAGACTTCAAATTCTTGAGTAATTTTGTAAATTCTGTCAATATAAAAACGACATTATTTTCTTTTATCTTACTTGGTTAGTCAAACATTAAGCATAGAAAAGAGAATTTTTCAGAAAAGTTAAAGTACAACAGCAAAATACAACATCCATAAAGCTTATTATTTTCATGAGTTTCTTTTAAAAGAAAAATATAAGCTCAAAACATATTATCATATCATGAGAATTCACATGCAAAATCACTCAAGTACATAAAAATTTAAATTCATATGCAATTGAATTTCTGTTTAGAACAAAAAAGATCATAGATAAAGTACTTGATCATTTATTCTTTTTGAATAAAAATTCAACACAAACAAGCAAACCGAGGTTTTACTTTCGAATAGCCAAGAGTTTTTTTTCATTGTACAATTGTTATAACAAAGCTATAATGAGAAACAAACCTATAACTTCTATGTTTTATCCCATCAAAAAACGAAAAAAGAACGTCTAAAAGAAATAAAAATACATTTTTTCATTCTAATTCAATCAAAATGAAAAATACAATTTCTTTTTTTTTTTTTACATCAACTCATTATTTTTTCTGCACAAGTATCATATTTTCAAATGTATATCTATATATATATATGTATAATATGTAACTTTTTCAAAAGGAGGAAAACAAAAGAACAAACCAAAAAATACACAATAATACAATACAAAGAGCAAATCGATATAGAAGAGTAAAGGACCAGTTTATTATGGAAAGAGAAACAAAAAGAAAAGAAACATAAACAGCAAAAGAAAAAAAAGAGAATTCGATCATCACCAAGCAGCTGAATTACAAAAATAGGCCAGAAAATGTTAATGTTAAGTCTTATCTGACACAGAGAAAAGAAAAGATGAACAGATTTACTCATTCCCTTCTTCTTCCTCTTCAAAAGGATTTTTTAACCTTAATGTGCATGCTAATGCACGTTGCTGCTAGGTGATATGAAGAAGAGAATAGAAGTTAATCGGCATGACAAAGCATTTAAAAAAAATAATAATAATAATATCAACAACAACAATAACAAAAGAGGAGAATATTTTTATTATAAATGTTTATCTTCTTCTCCTTGTCTTATGTGTTTTTGACAGCTAAGAAGTCTGTAAGAAAAACAAATATAAATAAAAAATAAACATCAATACGATAATTATTTACCGTTGTCTTAGAATATTTCGTTTGATCTCAAGTATACGAAAGTTAGATTTTAATGCTTTTAATTCAGTAAATGCTGTCGACATTTTAGCACTGTATCCATAATAATCATCAAAAAGTTTAAAACACTAAAATGATAAATATAATTTAATATGAAGAATAATTTTTTGTTTTCTTAATATCTCTACCTGTTTTTCTAATTGAGTCGATGACCAACCAGTTAAATGTTGAATGAGTTCAGCACGATAAAATTTTTGAATATTTTGTTCACGTTCAGCTTTTGAGATAGTCGGAATAGGTGATTCATTTCCAGTGCTTAACAAAAACAAATTATTCGAGTTTAATCGAATTTTTTTTAAATCTGAATTTTAATTGATCAGGAGAACAAAATGCTCGATTTAATTCAATTTAGGAATTGACATTTAAAAAATAATAACAAATCGGAAGCGATTACAGATAGCATTATTGGTAGTACCTAAAAACCTTTTCCGTGAGAGCCGACGTTGATACTTATTAATCGTATATCAACAAATATGGTAATACGATCGGATCGAATGATCAAGTTAGACTAGAAGACTTGATAGAAAGGTGGAATATCAAATAACATAAATAGAGGTATAGACCAATCGACTCAACTATTGCTTTTCTAACCCAAAAAAATTAGATAAAAATATTTTAGAAATTTTCGATTGATGGAATCCTTTTTCGAATATTTTGTTTTCTATCATTATTCTTGTCTTTTTCTATTGTAAAAAGTTTTCAGCTGGAATCCTCATCAGTCTTAATATTGAGTTACAGCTCTTAGTGGTGGATTTAGAGAAGAGGGCATCTAAGATTAACCACATCTCCCTTTCAAAATCTTTTTCGATTTTTCTCAGAAGAAAAGCGTCTGAAGATGAACTCCAATGACCTTCAACAACTTCAAAAGATGTTTTGTCATCATGATCATGTCTTATTTTTGCGAAGTTCTAGACCTATTACCGACATTTCTAATCAGCTTCATATGATATTTGATGCAGAAATTCGCAAATTTGTCCTAAAAATAGTCAACAAAGTTTTGAAAATAGTGATTGAAGTCTACTGTTTTTAACAAAGGCAAGAACGTATTAGAAAGTATTACTATTTATAAAAATAAAGGAAATTAACACATATAATTAAAATTAATAATTTTTTATAGTTCATAAAATCTATTTATGAATTTAATAAAGCTGTATTCATAAAAAATATTTTCTATATATCTTTTAATTATTTCACTGGGATTCTTTTGAAAGTAATGTATGACAAGTAGGTCATTAAAATTGAACTAAAAGTATAGTGTTGAATTTTTCATCTATCAAAATCTTTTTCTCACACATAAATTATGATATCATTAATAAATTAAAAGAAAAAAAAACTGTTGCTTCATTGTTTATTCTACCCGTCTTTGCAGTAGAATGGAGCTTACTAATCACGATCATTTATGATCATATTTCTATCTATAATCTTCCGTTTTTTCATAATTAAAAATAATATAAATTTTCAAAAACTTCTAATAACATACGCTAGAGTAGATTCTGTGTTTGTTAACGAAGGAAGAGTAGATTGTGATACCGAATATTTATTATCATTTCCTAAATAATAAAAATCATTTATGAAATTTCAATTGAAATATATTACCATTTACAAATTTTGTATTATTTTCTAAAGGTTTCGATTGAATATCACATAGAGAAGTGGAAACTGAAATAGCTTTGAAAAAGTTCATTAATTATAATTTTAATATGATGATATTCATTTTACCGGATTCTGATAAAGATGAATGTAAAACAGTACCATTACTTTCATTTGTATTATTACTGCCAGATATTAATAATGATGACTCTTTACTACTACTTGATGAAAATGACATTTGAGAATTATCATCATCTAAGATATAAAATGAAAAGAAACAAAAAAAATTTACATAATTAATTTCTTTTTTTTTTTATAATGTAATAAACCTGGAGTTGGAAGACGATGGTTTGGATTAGTAGGTAATTGTTCATTAGACTGTAAAGATTCTTGAAATGTATGATTTCCATTGTGATGATTATTTGAATATTCTGAAGGTAATTTAGAATTTAAAATTTGAGGAAGTTTTTTTTCTGAAGATAATTCTTCTATCTTATATCTAGTACGAACTGTTGATGAAACATTTGGTGTTGATTCTTTTATAAAATAAAAAAAATAAAAAATCTTCAGATGAAAACAAAAAACAAAATTTTTTATTAAGAAAAAATGAAAACCTTTTTTAATTCGATTTGTCGTAGATATTGATGATGATGTACTTGTTCGATTAGATTCATCTGTTAGCCATCCTTTTGGTTTTTCCCATTGCGATATTTCAGTTTTACAATTATAAAAATATGTTTTGCCTAAAAATACAAAAAACAACCGAAGATATGACATTTTCTGTCTTCAGAATTAGAGATTTTCAGCTTCAGTTTATTCATCATCAACTCATGAGAAAACCTTCCCACGTGTTAAAAAGTTTTTGAACTAAAATTTTGTCCACGATCGGAACATAATAAGACACAAGAGGTTTTTATTATTCAAGAGAGAGTTCTCGAGGCCCCGAAGTATATTGACATTTCATCAGTCAGAAATTAACCAATTCGATGAGTTTTTGTTAAAGGTTTTTGAAAATCATATTAGGAAATAGTGTCCCGTTCGATTTAGAATTATGATATGACTAATCGATAGAAAAATATTGTTTTTTTTTTCGATCTACGCAAGGCCAACATTCTTAATTTGTCTTATGAGAGTATTATAAGACTTTTCCTGATATCTCTGATTTCAACCAATCAATCTGTGATCATCCAAGAAAGGCAGCCGGACAAGAATAATTCATCGTGTCGATTCGATATAGATCTCACACTATTATCTCAAAATTTACGAAGTGTCAACTTCTTCGTTAAATATAGAGACTGACTGTAGAATTTCAGAAATATTGATATAATAACGTCAAATCATATCGAACCTAAAAAAGAATATTACCTTTCGATTCAGTATGATAAATTACCATTGTCCAGCTGCTTTTTCGGGGTATCACAGCTCAATTAACTGCAATCAGAGGTCTCAGGAAAAGCCTTATAACTTTCGAATAGATATAAAATTTTGATATACTTCAATGGTTTCGTGTCGTCTCTCTTGAACGATGAAAACCGCACGTTCTATGATGTTCATGCCGATTATTATTCAAAAAACATTGATCTGCCTTATATTTTGGCTTTAATGATAGTATGCTAGCATAAAGCAGCTTGTTCACTCAAAATGACACTTCGATGAACAAGTTTTTATACATTTTTTATACTACACTCGACTTTATCGCATCATTAGATGCAGTTTTTTCTTTCTGATTACAAATCTAGTCTTTGTTTTCAAAAAAAAAGGTTTTGACCTCAAAAAACTGATTTTAAAGCTTTTAAAAACTTATTATTCAAACCTTACATTAAACCTTTTTAGCTAATCCTCTTGAACTAGACACAATTTGACTAGTCTCTTTTCTTGAATACCATTCTCAATTGAAAATTCAGAATTTTTTCAATTAGGTGCAGTACGCCAAAATGTGTGTAACAGCGTTAAATTTATTTTTTAATTTTATCATGCGAATATTTCTTTCGAAAAAATCATTCATTCTCTACAAAATTCGTTCTAATGATATTTCAATTGCAGAACGACATGCATAGGAAATTCGAACTTAAGCAAGAACACTCAAAATTTAGGGTCTCATAAGTAACAGTGTTACGTATATACAAGCTGAACAGTACTTTTTTTTTATGGATATTTTAGAAAATTCATTTCTCGGATATTATTTGTCTAAAAATTCTGCAACTTTGCTTCTACCTTTAAAGTTTCATCCTGCAGCAAAATTATAGTAAAATGTTAGATTTCAACCAAATCATAACTTGCATTCATATAATCGTAGGCTTTCTCTATTCTATAGAAAGTTTCAGTTGAAAAGCTATTGAGCACTTGACAAGGTTCATCTGTCATTGTAATTAATACATACTATTATCAGTGTTTATTGAAGCATTAGGATACGCCTAGTGTCCTTGGATTGATTTGACCCTGAAAATTTTGTACCTTCTGAGCTCTAAACATTTCACTACAACAAAACTATATTTTGATCGAATGAGTATTTCAATGTTATAGTGAACTCGGATGTCAGTGTCCTCGTAACTCACTGTTCCTTACTTACAACAACATTATACATTCTTATTTTTTAATTGATACAAACCTGTTGAACTTTTAAATTCAGACCAATCACCGGATACACGAAGCGGTTTTTTCGTCTAGATAAAATCTTATCAAAAAAAAAAGAACTTTATTAATATAATTAAACGTACATCTTTAAGAATCTTTTTTTCATCATTTTCACGCGGCTGTTGTTGAGATGATGATGAACTTGATGCAACTCGATTATTTGAAGACACTGATTTAAACAAAAAATTATAATTATTTTTTTTTTTAAATAAGAAAATAAATGTACATTGAGTTCGTATATATTTTCGATGATTTGATGTTTCTTCATTAAAACCATGTGTTTGTAAATTCCACTCTCGTTTATTCGACTAAAATTAAAATAAATTAAACTTTTTTTTTTAAATTATCGTTTTTATTTATCTTACAGGATAACCGCTACCGTCATTCCGGCTTTCATAAATCTGTGTATCTGTTGTTCTATGTTTACTATCATACATTTCCAATACCGAAAAATATGTACATTTGGATCGTAAAATACGAAACCAAATAAACGTACGCACACACACACACACTCTCACAAAATGTTATTTGCCGACAAAAAAATTAATCAAGTTAATATGAAAGTTGATTAACAACGACTTTTTTTCTTATCATATTCACAGACTTCTCTTTTTTGTTGTTGTTGTATTTATATCGAAACAAGCAAGGTAAATATCTTTTAACCAAAACAAAAAAAAAAGAAGGAAATTTATATTACTTTTCCAATGTTGTCTTTCATCATTGATTCACTATTTTATTTTATTTTTCTTCCATTCGAAAAAAAAAAATATTTAAAACACATTTATGCATTTTGCACATCCATGTAGAGGTTTGTTACTATAGAAACAGTATAGAAAATGATGAATACATCGTATACATTGTAGTTATAAACGAATTTAACGACATAAACAAAATGTCGCATATGTAAGTATTTTTCTTTTAAATTAAAAATCTTCACACTTATCTATTTCAGTTCATATAATAAACAATGGCAAGATGCACAAATTGCCATGGTCGATATGTTGGCTATCGAAACACCCGAACAGCCACGACTACCAGAAAACGTATATTAATAATAATTTCATTGATTATAATGAATTTATTTTATTTCTTAGGATATCAATGCAGCTTTTCAATTAGTTGCAACTATGTTTGTGAAATATGTACAAATATTTCGAAGATTAGAACAATGTTATGATCAAATAGTACATCCACAAAAACGACGATTAATACGTGTTGTTCTTGATGGTTGTATGGGACGAATAATTGAATTAAAACATGAAATGATTAGCATGGATTATTCAGAATATCATTATTTTGATGATATTCTTGCAGATCTTAAATTAACACCGGTTTGATACAAAGAACGTGAATAAGAGAAAACATAATTGTTTGTTGTTGTAGAATGATCTTGATATTCCAATTCCAAATTATTTCGTACTTGAACGTGCACAAGCAATTGAAAAACGTGAACGTCTTCTTGGTCAAATTTTAGCTCGAATGACATTAGAAAATGAAACTCAAGATACTAGTAGCATCATGACAATGGATGATGCTATTCGAATAATTCAATCACATGAACGAGCTCGTCAAGGACGATTACGTGCTAAACAAATAGGTGAATTACGTCTTAATGATCAACGTGCACGACAACGTGCAAATATGGGAGAATCAAAAATGGATAAAGTATTAGCAGCAACAATTATTCAAAAATATTATCGTCGTCATGTTGTACGACGTGAAGTAAAAAAATTTCGTGAAGAAGAATATATGTTCTTAGGAATGGTAATATTTATTCTTTTTTTGAAATAATTTAATTGAAAGAAAAACATAAATCGATAAAAACAAAAATACTTTTTTCAATATGAAGAAAAACGAGGATATGTTATAGAAGACGTTAACACCTAAAAGAAAGAAAATTCTCGGAAACTTTTATTAGTTTTTCTTTCGTTGCAGCTGAGGTATTTAAGAAAGTACTGTTCGTTAGAAAATTTCATCTTTTTCAAAAAATCATAGTTTGAGTCGAAATAAAAGCAAACCATATGTGCGTCATCAATGTTGAATACTATATTTTTCGCTAGAATCATAAAAAGAGAACTTTTTTGAAAAAAACAAAGTTGAAGTTTTGATAATCTAAATACTTCATTGTGTTCAGTACTCAATGCTAATCCGGAATAGAAGATACGGCGTAAAAATCTCGGCACAAAATATTTGCACATTTTTCGACCACTAATAAAATATTGATTAGGGTTTGAGAAGCAGTTAGTTAGAATCAAACTTTCTCGCTCTGTTCGAATATGTGTTTAGAATTTTCGTGCGTAGATAAGATTTGATAATTGTCATCCGATTGTTTCACACTAGTGATTATATCGGAATAATATTTTAGTATATTTTGTATTTCGATTGAAGCCTTCTACAAAGAGTGCTGTTGATTTTTGTATGACAGATTTTTAAACGCTTGTATGTTTAAAAGCAATTTTTTGACTAATATCTGTTTCCATAGAAACTAGCTCTTGTGAGGAAACGCCAAGATAAGATTTCGTTTATTGTAATATCTAATTTAGTGCTCTATGATAATACTAAGTTAGAGCAATTTCTAGACACAAACTGAGAACTACGAGAAAACCACTATGTTGCTTTGTACAGACACAGTTTTGGACTTTTTCACACAACTAGTTGTTCAGTCTTGAATAGGAAAACATTCTGATTGTAGCTATCACTGGTTGTCTGTTAGTGACCGAAAAAAATAAATGAATATTTTTTTGTCAAGACTTTCGTGCTAAAGGTTATGTATTTTGATAAAGTGATATGTTGAAAGAGTACTTTATATTCTATCAATATGGATATCTAATTGAAGAGGTCGTTGCTATTGACGAAGGAACAATTCGAACTGATACGCATTGTTTGAGCTCATATTTGATTCACAAGCAGATGTTGATAAGGCTAGAAAAATCCTAAACGGGTTCGGGCCTACGAGTCTCTCGAGTCGAGTTATGAACGTTTTACTGAATATTCGATCCAGCTTTTGACACATACCGGAAAGTCAAATAATAGACGTTGACCCATAGATAGATCTGATGATTCAGGAAATATATTGAAAGTTTCAGCCAAAAACAAGAACGTCTTTTTGTCAGGATACTGGGTTTCAAAAAAATGATTGCTTGTCACAAAGATCGAGTTTATTTGAAAATTCAATATCTGCACAAAGAAACATTTTTTTTTCGGCTGAAAACTTCAAAATATTCTACTAGTCATTCAACCTGTTTATCGACGAAGTTTCCAATCAAAATACGATAATTTGATTTTTCCGTAAATATTTATAGGCATGAACCTTTTAAGATTTCTCAAATCTTAGTTAGACATTCTTATGGACTCAATATGAGCTCAAACGACGGATATCAGTTCAGGTAGTTCTCTTGTGAGGCATATTGATTTTGAAATGTTTTTCATTACTATATTTTATATAAACTTTCGAAATCGTCACTAAGGACAATTTCAGATGTGAGAAACATTCAAGGTCCCCTCAACAATAGAAACACTTTCATTCCATATAGTATCAATCGTATTCTATCTAGTGGTAAAGTCAATTTTCTTTATTTTTGATTTCAAACTCTTTCCATATGTAGGTGACGAATAGATGGTTATCACGATAAGTCTTCTGAATAGTTTAACTGGAATATTCTCTCTGAAACAATTTTTTCACTGATATCAATAATGACTTTTATATCTAACAGATTCTTATTACTTTCATCAATTTGTAGAAAATTTCATCTTGATCAAACATGAAAAATAAAAATAAAATCTTTCAATTTCTTTCAAAAATTGTCTGTAAAATCGCAACATCATTTATTGAAATACCATTTCAGACTAAAAGTATTGATTTTACATATATATTGCTGAAAGATTGGAAGATCGTTGCCTAAAATATTTCAATAAAGACTAAAAATAAATTTGAGATATCTTGTCTGTATCTTTCTTCTTACAAATACATAAAAGGTTTTCTTGTATGCAATCAAGTATTTAGAATCGCCAATATTTTTTAGGCAATGCCAACATTTCATAAAGATCCATTAAAACGTTTACTTGCTGATGTACGAGCACATGAAGATGAAAGACGAAAACGACAAGAAAAACATGAAATAGCATATCAACAAGCATTAGTAGCAACGCGTGAAAAAATCAAACAAACTGAAGGACCAGATATGAAAGAACGTTTACAAGATCAAATTCGTCAATGGTTTATTGAATGCAGGTAGACATGAAACGTTTAAAATTATTCAAATAATAAACATTTTCTTTTTACAGAAATGTTTCACAAAAATTTCCCGATTTTCCTGATGAAGATGATGGTGGTTCAAATAAAATTTTTGAGAAAAAGACTGTTGAAGAAATTCAAGAAGATCTTGATGCTGTATGATTTAATTTTAGAATATTTTCATTTATATTAATTTTTATTTTTTTAGAAACTTGAAAGTAAAGGCAAAGGAAAAGGTGATAAAAAAGGTTAGTTAGTAAATTCTAAATATTAATTATATTAATCTATTTCTTTTTTTTTAGGCAAAAAAGGAAAAAAAGGCAAGAAAGAAAAGAAAGGTAAAATTATTTCATTTATATAATTTTCGAATATTAAATGATTTATTTTAGGAAAGAAAGGCAAAAAAGGCAAGAAAAAGAAGAAAGGAGTATGTAGATTCAAAAAATTTATTCAAAAAAATTTATTTTGAAATATTTTCAAAGGATGATGAAGAAGGTTGGACATTACCAGAATCTCAATTTGTTACTGAGATGATGAAACCATCAACACAAACATATCAAAGTTAGTCAATAAACAAACAAAAAAAAAACAAACAAACATGATTAAATATTTTATTTAGGTTTTTGGGAAACAAGAGATGAAAGTAATAATTTTGAACAAAATCATGATAATGAAATAGTTAAAGAAGAAAAACGCACTGAAGTTCAAGAAGAAATACGTATTGAAGTTGATGCTTTAATGCGTGAAGAATTAAAAAATTTAAAAGCGGTTTGTTATCAATCATTTATTAATGTGTAATATACATTTTATGTTTCTAGGCAATTGATAAAACAAAAGACAAAAAGAAAAAGAAAAAAAAGAAGGTAAAATCTTAAGAAAATAAATTTATTGTTGTGTTCAATAGAATTAGACTGTTTCTTTTTAAATCAATCTTCTCATTATGATTTGTTAGTATTGCTGAGTTACAAAAAATCTAAATGATTTGAAAATCATAAAAGCGTTGAATTGCAGTCATTCTCTACGACTAAGTGGCTACGTTATTCGATACATATCCACACAGATTGTGTGCAAAAGTCAGTGCATCAATCATAGAATGACTCTGAACAAGTTACTGACGGTCGTCGATCTCGGATCATTCATGCAATAGCATGCTGACCATCTTGGGACACATATAGAGAAATTCATTAGAATCAATCAAATGTCTGATTAATAAATCATATAAAGCACAAGAAATTTCTTGAGTTGTAAGTTTTATTCTTTGAGACTCATGAGAAGAGATCAGAATTAACCTTGACTTTGACTTTTTCCCACCTTTATATTGCCATGAGGAGACATGAATCGAGCCTGTAAAACACATCAATTGATACAATGAATATGATAGAATAAAACTCACCATTCAAAACGAAACCTGTAGTGTTCAGTCTCAGTTATCGTGAAGAAATTTAGAGAGCTTCGGCCACAGTATATCCACACCAATAAGCTAATGGTACGAGTTATTTTCAGAAAATTCCTAGCTTATTTGGATCTATCAATTATGCAAAAGTTCTTCATTGATTTTGTTTTCAGTATGGCTTAATAACAACTCTACGTGAAGATTTCATAATTTTTATGTTAGAAAGAGTAAAGCCTGTATTACAAAGCTGTATAAAATGATTTGACTCAAAATAATTACCGAAGGCTAAAAAGTTCTCTGAACATTTCGGGCATTTAGAAGAAAACCTTTGTCCACTAAGAAATTATTTTCCATCTTTTACCAAATTTCGTAACACGACAATAGAGTATTGTAACTGGGTAAAAAAAATACAAGTTACGGATCAATTTCGAAATCAACATTTTGCTAACGATCTTAGATAGTGAAAAATGTTCATTTATTTCTTAGCTTCTTAGAAAGAACCTGCAGAAATGTGAAAACTTTGGGCTACAATGCGTCTTTTGTTTTCTTTCCAAATATAGTTGCAAACTGTTTGTAGTACTTCTGATTTAGAAGTTATAAGTTGACCTTTTAGAGGCTTGCAAATTAAGTTTAGACGAATTTGAGCATACCAAAACTTACCAAAAGTAGCTCGAAAAGATCATGTATTAACAATTAGTTTGTTCCAAGTCGTTTGTTAACAGTGAGTATTAAGGTATGGTATATAATCTCAATTTTCTCGATTACTATAGAAAACAGACCTGCAACATGAGCTTGAACATTCCTGAATGGCTTTTCTGAAACTTGTGACTGTTATATCACGTTATAGAGAACAAACTCGTCTTCAATTCGATGCAAAAAATCGATAGTATAACTTTTATAGTAGAAAAGACTATTGAGGCCGGAAACTCTAAATTTTTTCCGACTCAACATAGTTTGCGGATCTTTAAATAGTTAGCTCAGAGCTTCTAAGCTAGAAATCCTACAAAAAGCTTGGATCCATATTCGATAAAAACACAACATTCGGGTTCTGGGTGGCCAGAGTTACGTCAATAAGACTGTCGCTAACAGAACATTTGCTCATGCCGAAAGTACAACCCAGATGAACGAGGTATGAGTGGAAAACTCCAGAAAATGGTAAGAATTTGGAAGCAGGAATCCGGTGATTGAGGTCGGTGACTGAATTTATCGAGTTCTTGTAGGTAATCAGATACGATTATCAGATCCTGCTTTCGAATTCCTAAAATTTTTCGGTCGGAAATTCACGAATTTAAATGCATGAATCATTGACTTGAGAATGGACTTTCGCCAATGGCAACAGGCTTGTTGGCAAAATTTCGAAACTCCAGATTCTAACTCAGTGTTTTCAAATTTCGATTACCTGTTGCAATTCTTTGCATAAAACTAATAAACAAAAAAGTCACTTTGTCGTTTAACGTTCCTATGTGTTTTGCCCGATGAAAATATCGTTTTCAACTTCATTATGAATTTCCACTTATGAAAATGTTTTCAAATATTTGTCTTTTTTTACACTAAAAATCGAATTCAATTCAATTTTTCCTAATTCAGAAAAAAAACAGAAAAGGTTTTCTTTAGAAAGCAAAAAAGAAAAAGAAGAAGAAAGAAAAAGATTTAACACCAGATCGAACAATTGAGTCTCTATATGAAGAACTTGTTATGAATCGTATTATAATTCGTCCACCAAAAGTTACTCTTAATGATTTTCTTGGTGATTTTAATTATTTACCAAGTCTTATTCGTCAAGCTAAACATGAACCAATGCCAACAATGTACGATGTTAAACAATTAACTGCCTTATATGGAATTTTACCATTCGGTTTGTTAATATCCTTGATCAATATTAAAATTTTTTTTATATTTAATTAATTTAGGATCAGAAAAAGTTCATGAAATAGCACCTCAAGTAAAAGGTCTTCTTATTTGTGGACCTCGAGGATGTGGTAAACATATGTTATTACACGCTATATGTAATGAATTAGGTGCAAATTTATTTGATATATCACCACAAAATATTTATGAAACATATCGTGAAAAAGAAGGTATTAAAATGCTTATGCATTTATGTTCAAAAGTAAATCAATCAAGGAAAAAGTTTTATGAATTAAATTTTTTTTAAAACTTATTATCATAGGTTGGAAAAGCTTTACAACCAACTATAATTTTTATTAATGATTGTGAAAAATTATTTAAAAAAAAACTAAAACCAGAAGAAAAACAAGTATTTAAATAAAAATAGTTGAATAAATTATTAAAAATTGTGGATATTAATATTTAGTTTGAACCAAAACGCTTAGCTAAAGCATTACCAAAATGGCTTAAGACAATCAAACCTGGAGATCGAGTTTTATTAGTTGGAATATCACATGAACCATATCAAGGTGTTGTTAAACCAATGATGAAAGCTTTTCAACGTGTTGTTTTATTACCACGTCCTGAATATGGAACTCGTTTATGTACGTATTTTGCTCGTTTTTTCTTTTTCACTCCAAAATAGAACAATTCAATAGATACATAAACGAAAAAAAAATGATAATGTTACTACAGTGAACTCAATGATTAGATCACGATTTGAATTAAATGAACATACACAGTAGTTTCACTTCCCGGAATAGTTTTGTTCTGTTTTCCGTAGTTTTACAACATCGAACAAGTTTCTAATTTTGATATGATCGGACAGAGCATTAGCTATTCCATCAAATATCCATGTATTTGTGCATTTGAGCCTGGATCTGGAAGGCCCGCAGTATCCTACAAGTAATAGTAAAATAAAATTTTGTCAGGCTTGTAATTCTGTGAAAACTGCTTTTAGTGAAAGAGCTTCAAGGTAACGAGTATTCTGCTCATTGATATAAAAATTTGAAAAAGTCAGTACTCGAATAGTTACGAAAAATATTATCTGAGAAATAATCTCAAAACGACGGACGAGAGAACACTCCAAAATAAAAACAATCATTTGAACTCATATTAGATCCACGAAGACATCGCAATAAGACTAGAAAAAACTTCAAACTGTTCGTTTCCATGAGCTATTAGGACCATATTATGGCCATTCTAGTGAATTTTCAACTCATTCCTAGCTATTTATTGGAAAATTAAATAAGAGAATTTCAGCTTATAATTTTGCCAATGAATAAGCTTCGGGACCCTTAAAATATCTTGAAAATTTTAATCAGAAAGAATCTCGATCTGTCAAAATCTTGAATTTCAAAAAATAGTCGTTTGCCACCTCAATCGAGCTGACTTAAACAATTCCATTTCATAGTACAGTAACATTCTTTCCAATGGAAACTTACAGAATATTGTAAGGATCATTAGATTTATCTCAAGGCAAAATTACAGATGGAAATCCCATTTTTCAATTTGTCAGTAAAAATTTAAAACTACGTCGAAAAATCAATAAAACGGTTCATCATTCGACTCTAGAGACTCATGAAAATGAATCCTTTTAGGATTTTCCTGATTTTATCGAGACTTCCTTATGGATTCAATGTGAGTTCAAACAACAGGTTGCCCTTTGGATAGTTTTCTCGTTGATGAACAAATTCATATTCTGCTGCTTTTCAAAATTTATTAAAGTTTTTGAACAAGATTGATGATAAATAATATAATAAAGTAATAAGTGTTATGTTCAATCGCATGAAAAATACTTTAGTCAATCTGTAAACAACAGAAAAAAAACAAAAGTATTCATATTTCCATTTTAATTTTTTCTAGTACTATGGAAAACGCTGATTCCTAAATATGGTGGTATAATAACGCCAGCACTTGACTTAACATCATTAGCAAAACTATCAGATTCATATGCACCTGGACATATTCATGATACAATTGTTGAAACATTGACTGAACGACGTCTTGTTAAAATGTCTAAACATCCATTACAAGCAAGTGATTTTATACCTGGTTTAGCACATCATAATGCTATTTATAAAGAAGAAGAAGATGCTTATAAAGTAAATTTCATTGAAAAATTTTTCTTTTTAAATGATAAACTTTTTTTTTGTAGAGTTGGTGGAAAAAAACTCCATTGGGTAAAAAACGTGAACGATTCTTAGAAGATCAAGAAGAAGGCGGAGGTGATGGTAAAGGAAAAAAAGACAAAAAAGGAGGTGGTAAAGGGAAAGGCAAAAAGGGAAAAGGCAAAAAGAAAAAATAACCGATTAATTATTACTTGTTTTGTATACATTCATAACTATTCGTCAAAAAATTGTTTGTGTATAATCAATATGAGACAAAAAAAATATTTTCATTTTAAATTTTTAACAGTTTTAATAGAATGATCATTTTTATTCTTTATCAAATAAATACTTTATGAGTGCTCTTTATTTGTTCCTTATTAATATTTATTTTCTCATCAAAAAAACATTAAAGAGAAAAAAAGTAGGAATCAATGACGTCAATGTATATCTACTGAATGAGACTTTTGACGTGAATGCTACAACGACATGATGTTTCTTCTAGTTTCGATTGATCGGCTGTCATTAAACAACAATAGGCAAATGATGAGTATGCCTATGTAATCGAGCGAATAACGATGAACTTGAACGATAATCACCGCCGCATTCCAGCCGTACGGTATATATATATGAATATATATATATCTATGCGTGTCTCATCATCCACCATTATTCTAGCGCACGATTAAACATACTTATGATCATTCATCCCATCACACTCATCTTTACAATCGATAAATAAATGTATTCTGGTCAATGAGATTAAACTAAAGAAACGACAAATCTTTAATTCGTTCTAATAAACAATCATCAATCAAATTGATCTATTTACGATATAAAAAGATGATGAGGGCAAAAGAAAAATAAAAAAAAAACAAAACATAAGACGAATATACACAAGTAAAACAACTAACTGTACGGAAGGTCTCTTTTGCTCTTTTAATTGACTGTTAATGTAAACAATGTTTTGTATGCTCTTTTGTTTATTAAGAAAACAATATATTTCCTCGAACGAGCTCAGCAACAATGTATTAGAATAGCTGTTATTCTTAATTGAATTGACAACAAGGCGTTGCCAAGAAATCACATTAGACCAATATTTAACAGAAGTCATTGTATATCCTAGACATTTTTTGACATACGTATATATATATTTATATAAGTAAATATATATATACTAATATATGTTTTTTGTTTATTCCTCATCTTATGAATGAACTAAAGCACCATGTGTGAAAAAAAACAAAGGACCCTGAACATAAAAAAAAAGATAGCAACACAAAAAAGGCCCTTCTCTAAAAGAAGAGAAAAAAATGAAACAAAAGAAAAACGAAGAAACAAACAAAATGATCGAAAAAAAAACAGTGTTGACCAAAGATAGCAAAAAAAAGAAAAAGAAGAAACCAAAAGGGTTCAATAAGGATGGACAAGAAACATACTGTTTACACAAAAGAACAAAAAACAAAAAAAGGAAATGACGAAATCTTTTTGGCATAAGGTTTAAAGGAAAAACAAAAACACAGGGAATTTTAGTTGCAAAGTAGTGCTCGACTACCATTGCTATTACCATTTCCTTGTTGTATTCGATGTAGTTCTCTAACAGCTACATCAACAAGAAGTTGAAAACCGGCTAGATCACCACCTGTACTGCTATTACTACTAGTCGATGTTGTCAATGAATCCGTCGAACAAAGTAAACGTGGATGTTGTTGTTTTGAATCAGTTGATATTAAATTGATTACAGTCGGATCACGTATTGATTTATATAAAACAGGTTCCCTAGACATCGTTGTCGTCGTCGTCGTACTGCAGCAAGGTTCAATAGATGATGATGATAATGATGATGATGAATTATCTGTTTGTTGTGATAATTGTTTATTAAGCACATTTGAATTATTTGTAAGTATTAATGAAGGTGATGAACTTCGTTCAACAATAACATTTATTTTCACGGGTGGTATGGATGATGAATTATCAGTTACTGTTGTGGTTGTTGTTGTTGTTTCAGTTGAAGTATTTTCTCCACTTGTTGAACATATAGCTGACGATGGTGATGAACGTTTTTGATCACGACTAAAACGTCTTGATATAGTAAATTTTTTTGGATCAGTACCTTCTTTTTTTAATAAATCCGGTAATATCCGTCGTCGTGCATTAATAAACCAATTACAAACTTGATTTATTGATAAATCAGCACGACGAGATAAATTAGCTTTTTCATCGTCTGTTGGATAAGCATTATAACGATGTTCATAAAGCCAATTTTTTAATATTCGTACCTATGAAATATAAAAAACAAAATAAAATCAATCGAAATTTGTGTGATTTTTCATTATTCTTACGCTATCTTTTGGTAAATTAGCTCGTCGTTTTTTTAATTTCGATGATGATGAATTTGTTATATTAATATTTGTTGTTGATGATGATGATGATAATATTGAATTTGATGAACTATCAAGATCACAATCAGAATCTGTTTGTTCACTAGTACGATTTCGAAGTTTTTGTTGATGATGATAATGATATGATGATGTTTGTGTTGAATTCATTAGAGATGAACGATGTGGACTAACAATAACTTCAGCTGAATGATGATAGATAGACGTCGGATAAAATAGATCATGATGGTTACAGTTTGTTGTCGACGAAGTAGAAGAAGAAGACGAAGACGATGATGTCGATGTAAGTGGTAATGTTGTTAAAGTAGTTGATGGCGGAGATGAAGATAGATATGTAGATGATAGAAGATTAGACATTGTTTGATAATGTGGAATCTGCTGTGAGTTGCTACGAACATATATATTGTTTGGCTGATCAATCATCGAAAATGATAATAGCGAATATTCTAAAATCAAAACAAAAGAAATGAACTCAATTGACATTATATCGAATAATTGAACCGTATAATACACGAAATAAAAGAGAAAATGGCCTGTCACAATACATAAGTAAAATCAAATGTCATTACTCGATTAACGATTATCAAACAGGTGAAAATGACAATGCACAATATTCATGATTCTAAGACGATGTTAATTTATCTGTCAGGTCCAATGTGCGACACATAGAAGAAAAAAAGTATAGAAAAAAAATGTCTCTCTCTTATCTTACACTATCTGAGAACGCGTACCGTGTGTGTATCGTCCGATGTGTTTCTTCTTCGTAGATTTTTTTTCTTTTCATAGTTTTTATAGACGAAAATCAAATACAGATGGTTCTTATATTGTCTTACATTATTTCATAAAACTAGAACTAGGAAGAGAACAAAAAAAAAACTCCGAATTTTGCATTTCCTAACTACCATATGATTATTTATTCCTTCAATCGTATATGACAAAGCAACAAAAAAAAAGTTTTCTTTTTTATGATATCCTTTTAATGAAATCTCAGCTGATGGGAGAAATTACGTGTTTTATTCTTTCTTTCTTATCAATAAGTATTTATAGTGTAAAAAAATGAAGATAAATCGAGATGTTCTTCTAATGTTCTTTCTTATCAAGTTTGTGTCGAAAGAAGTCAGATGTCATCTCTTAGAAACTCATTCGACTGCACATCTTTTTCTTATTGTCCTAATGATTATAGTTAAGACGGGAATATGAAAAGCGCTCGATCGTCATTAACTCATTATTTGACGTACCAATTGATATAGTCCTTCTATATTTTATTTTCTTTATTGTTATTGTTCTTCCGCTTTCTGTCTCTCTCTCTCTCCTTCTCTATCTCGTTTTCTTTTCTATCAGTCATTATCATCATCATCATCATTATGGTGTATCATACGATCGAAAAAAGATAAAATGTGCGACATCACCTTATTGGATGTCAGAAAGAAAACGAGAAAGGAAAAAATCGATACACCAAAAAATGATTAATTCGACGCGTATGATATCAATCAAATGAGAACACACAAAAAAAAGAAAAAAAAAACGAATAGACGAAAATCACTGCTTTTCGTCTTCTACCTTACGATGAGCCTCATTGATCACAATCATCATATATATCTATATAACACACCCTATTGAGATATACAAATTGTAGGGAAGAGAAGAAGAAGAATCGACAGAATAGAGTGTGAAAGACAATCTATCGAAAAGATTACATATGATAAATTCAATTCCATTTTAAATTAAAGTCTTAAGTAAAAGCCTTGAGATTTGATATTAATTCTATGGTTTCATCTATCTTCAATATATATATATATATAAATATTTCTAAATAAGCAAAAAATAACAAAACCTTTCAACACTAATTACGTGTATGTGTGTGTGTGCAATCGAACAGTCACCTAAACAGCTGTCTACAGATATCCATCATCATATCATCAATATCCGTTGAAGACTAAATAGAGAGAAAAGACAACGAAGCAACAACTACTTGTTTCAATATCTTATCATCAATATTCGTTAGAAGAATAACGAGAAAAAAGTTTTGCCTTGGAATGTGTATATGAGTGTCCTGTTAAAGATGATTGATGGAAAGAAAAAGTAAATGAGATAACATTTATAGAAGAAGATTCATTGTTTCTACTCAGCAGGAATTGAACTATTGTTAAGGTTTTTCATTGCTTAAAATTAGTCGATCTGTCAATCAGATTTTGTGATTTCCTGCTGACATAAAAGAAACATGCAATAGAATAAACACAGGTGCTACTTATGAACAACTGGTCAGTAGTACATATACTTCACAGAAGAAAACTTACGTTACGTGTCTGTCTTGTGTCAAATCCCGTTATCTACTGTTATAAGCATGTGCATATCTTTCTACTCAATTTTTTTTTCTTTCTCTCTCTCTCTCTCTCTCTCTCTCTTTCTTAAGTGTCTATAATTTCTTTCTCTCTTTTTCTGTTACGCTGTCTTTTTTTTGACGTTTATTGTTCTCTCCGTCTTTCAGTGTTCTTTTTTCTCTTTTTCTTTTTCTTTCAATTGGATTATGATTACCTTTTCTTTTGTTACTGGTTTGAAAAAAAAAGAAATGGAATTTGTCACACTACTATACATTCAATTGTACCCAATAAGAAGAAGAAAGAATTCATTGTTTTGAAATGCTTGAAAGAAATAAGATAGAGTAAACAGCAACATACTTCAATTTTCGGTCTGTTTGTGTATATTATAGGCAGGTTTCTATAATATACATATACATGAAGGGAACGTGAAAGAGAGAGAATCACTTATTCACTTGATCGCAGTGCGAAGAAGCGAAACAAGAACCTATGTACGACACAACAGAAGAATGGAAGTATGTAACGACATATAACAAAACGTCATAGTTGAAGAAATAAAAAAAAGTTCAAATAAAGAAAGTTAGATGAAGACTGAAGGTTTGAATTTGCACATATAGACATAGATAATAAATGTCAAAATTGTCAAGTTGAAAATTGACATACAACATGATTACATGGACAACAATGGGACAAAAATCTTAAACAAAAGCACACGTAAATGAATCAGTAAGAAAAAATGAGCAAAAAGAAAGAAAGAAATATCAGAAAACGACAAAGAAATGAATAAATCGTCTCACTAAAGCAGTATTCTCTGTTCTTTCATTCTCTTTCATTACTTTACCACTTGAAAAGAAATCAATCGTAAATTGTATACGTCTGTTTTCTTCTAACTAAGAAAATGATAAAAAAATATCTCAAGAATAGAGTAGAGTAAAAAAAACCTAACTAACAAACATTTTTCCGAATCATTTCTCTATCTCATCTATCATGCACGCCATTTCAATGGATCACTTAAAATGAGTAGAAGAAGACGATGATGATGATGAGTTCGTTCGTTCTGTACTGTTGAAAAACAATTACAATAAGAAAAAAAAAGATACAAAGGTTGTCTAGCTATCTCTATTTATTCTCGTACGTGTGTTTCCCAACGGACTATCGATCCGAAATGTCATCGGTTGTCGCTTATGTATTGATTATAGAAACGAAGGAGAAGTGATAGAAAGAAGAGGTGGCGGAAGAAGGCTATCTACTCATTATGTCACTTCTCATCGTCTAACAAACGAAAAAGAAAAAAAACCAACACCAGAAGAGTAAATACATGAACACCCTTGGGGCGTGTTCAACTGTCTCTCTCTCTCTCTCTCTCTCTCTCTCCCTCTCTCTTATGAAAGTGAGAGAAAAAAGTAAAACGTCAATAAGAGAGAAAAAGAGCTCGCGGTAAAATACCATTTAACTTCAATTATAAGCTGAACCGATGAAAAGTATACATACATATACACAATAGAGCCAATATTTTACACTTGGCTGCTTTTTTCTCTATCCATATACAATCAAACAATAACTCTTTATAATGCATTCACAGTATCTAAGGTAGTTTGCATTATGTCAAGAGACTATTGCTTCCTTTCTTTCTCTCTCTCTCTCTTTTTCTTAAGCATTCAACTAGCCTCCTGTCATCGTTCCCACATTACTTATCTTCGTTCTACATAATAGAACTTCACTTTTCTTCTGCTGTCTGTTTTGCGTACTGATACACATATGCATTACTATAATTGGTTTGGGCCAATGTTAATTCGCTTTTCATCAATAATAACAATTAGGAATAGAAGAAAAAAAAAGAGAGATCGCGTTTGATCAGCTGAGTAACAAAAAAGAAAAAAAAGAAGAAAAGCCATCATTATTATCTTCAACAACAATGATCGTCGTAACTAATCGATATAACACATGGTACGCATCTTTATTCAAGCGAATATATAACAATGACGAACACATTTTTCAATATTCGATTACCAGCTGTTTCCTTGCCTCTTCCAACATATTCACACAGACAAACAGTTGCTCAATCTTGTTGACTATGAATAGCCTGCTGTCATCAACCGATGACGGATAAACGCGTGCAATGCAATCATTCGGTTACTTCGATGCTTTTCTTTCTCTTATTTTTTTTTTCTTCTCCTGTCAACGAAATGTCTACATACGTATTATATTTTCTCTTTGGATATGTGTTTTGATAAGAGATGAAGAGAAAAAAAAGCTAAAAACGTCAAAATCATAGAAAAAAAAGAACGAAGATAAAAAGAAAAGGTTGACAACTTTTTGAAAGATAAACAGAAACCAAACGACTCATTTCAATTTACTATATTAATAAGAGAACAAGAAAACATTTCTCATGATTAGATAAATTGCTTTAACATTTTTGTTCATTAGTTTAATTAATATTAGTAGATAAAAAAACCGAACTCTTTTTAACAATAAAATGATTTCATTCTATAAAACAGTTTACAACGAATCAATGATTTCAATTCATTTGATTTATTATTATTATTATTATGTATTCGATACTAAACTGTTTCAATGATAAGGCTGGTAAAAAAAAGTACCATTTGTCATACTCTCAACATATATTCGTTGCGAACTGTTACTTGATGCTGATATGTTTCTCTTACAAATAACAAACTACTATTGAATCTCTTAACAACAACAAACATATCAGTTATTATCTTTGTCGATCATATTAATTCATGACAATCAACAATAAATTGGTTAGTAAAAATAATTTCATATCCACCTCAATATATATTATGATAGAAGTTAACAATCAGGTGTTGCACTTATTGATAAGACAACAGATGATGATCTTTACGGTTTATTGGCTATATATCAACTTAATGAACGTTATATATATATATATATATATATATATGAAAACTTAATTTATAGATATTTACATGGTGATAAAAAAAAACATTTTGACTTGATTATATTCTTGTATATATATTCAATAGACGTTTGTACTCTTCCTAATAATAACTATTGAAT